ATAGATAGATAGATAGATAGATAGATAGATAGATAGATAGATAGATACTGCTAGTATAACCTTGCATCATTAATGAACTGCAGTAATGACTTTTCATGTAAATGTGAATTCTCTTTTTATTACCAGTGGAGATTTATAATACAGAAGCTTCCTGTTCATAAAGCACAGCGTGAACCACCTCTTCTTGAATGGCTCCCGTTGCTGAAAACACAAACACCAATCAGACCACACAATCCGGCACATAAACCTAGAGTAAATATGCAGGAATAACATGATTAATAAATTCACTTGAACTGACCGTTGGGCCAGTTTTCTCCATGTATCCCTCCTTCAGGGATTCTCTTGTTATCTGGGGTATCAACTGTTGAAATTATTTATGAAGTTTAAAAACCAGACTGATCACAAACGTAAACTTCATGGGTGAAAATGGTAATTTTGTAATATTGACAGGTAAGGTCTATCTAATATGATTTTGATACTAGTGTTCCTAATTATTTCCATAAAATGGTATAAAAATTATAATGTACAGTGATAAATCATGTCTGTATGTTGGTAGTCAAGCAAATATTGCAAAGATGAAAGACCTCTCTTAAAAGTTGTTTTTTTTAATGGATATAAGAAAAACATTCATTCTATTGAACTGTCTTAAAGTGAAAACAATGGCTGACAAGTCTAAAGCCCCTATATTCATTGTTCAAAGCCTTGCCAGAACAAGGGGAAGTAGAATAAAGTAGATGGTGCTAAACTGGAGCTAATTTTGGAGTGTGTAAGTGGGTGGTCTATGGAAAGGGCAAACAAGAGAAACGCCCTAGTGTAACAATAATATTTTGAGGTGGTTCTGTTCTTATTGTTGGATTCTTTGAAATGTCAGACCATTCTGCAAAGGACAGCAATAAAATCTGAATCTAATCTGAAACCAACTAGTCTTTGACCTTACCATCAAGGCAATGCTACAGTCATGTTAAGAACAGTAGGCAACCTGTTTAATTTATGTTTTTATAAATTATGCCAGGCTGAAATGTGAAAAGTCTTGAAATCTTAAAATGCAATGTCAGATTAACAAAATATATGTCAACTTTAGGAATTACCCTTAAATATGATATGGTAAACAGCAGCAAAGTGCTGGAGATTAAATGTGCTTTATTTTTTATCATGGTGTCTTAGATTAAAAGAGCATTGAGTTAGCAAGTCTGTGGGTTTAGGTGATCTTGGGGAGAAAAAGTTTTCCAAGTGAAAGTCTAATCTCTCTAAAAGATTAAATTTGTTTCAGGCTTGTTTTGAAGCCTCAGTAACCCAACACACTGAAGTCACAGAGTCCACCCTGAACTTCTCTGTATATAAAATGTTAGAGCTAAATAACAGCTACAATAGAGTAATAACATACTAGTAACACACATTCTTGACAGATTTTTTAAAAAGAAAAGGAAAAAAGTGCTACAATGGTCGTATTGATGTCACGACATGATCAAATTGCTGTGGTGAGACTTATGTCCACATAATGTCTGCAAAATTCAGTGAACTGAAGTACCTTAAAGATGAGTGGGTCTAATATGTCTCAACAGCCCTGAAATCAGTTACCTTAACCTCTAGCTTTTAGGTAGGTACTTAACCTAGACACATAGATTGTACTAATTCTTTTTTTAAAGTGCTGTTATACTTTTATAAAATACATATCTGAGGCTGATTCTTGACTTAAGGATCATATATTGTATATTTTTGTCAAAAACATACAATCTTTAAATTAAAGGAGGATTTAAAAAACTTGAATCATCATCCTTCAAGCCAAGTTTCTATAACTTTCCTGAAACTTGTTTATTGAAAAACAGAACAGTATGACAGAATAAAGCAAATGGTCCTAACTCAACCTCTTTTTGAGGATATTTATTGGGGTCCATTTCACATAATTCTATTCAGTCATTGGGAAATCTTTCAGAATGAAAAACTGTGAATGCAACTGAATGCCATGAACTAATAATACTCACATCACTGTTTTGAAGACGTGGGTGTATGTTCAGGAGGTATGCCAAGCGCGTTGCCCGAATGGCATTGAAAAAGGACACAATTGGCTAGAAGAGGTAAGATTGACAAGAACGACAAAAACTTTAGTAGGGACTGGTGGTATCTGGCCTCACAGTTTGTAGTTTTTTATTTAAACTGGGTAGAAGCATGCTAAAGACACTAAAATAGGCTACAAGATTAAGGGCATAATTCAAATTTAAGATTTATGAGTGTAATAATTTGCTTCCACACTGCAGCACGTTGGAAAAAGCACAACAGCTTTTGGGGTTACCTGCCCATCCTCGTGATAAACAAATAAGTTTCTTGTACGTTCACCCTCCAGATAGGAAATCTGCAGACCATGATTATGACCAATCTTCTCAGGTTGGAAATTCGCATTCAAATCTTTCATGGTGATGCAAGCTTTAGGAACTTTGGACTTGGTTTAAACAGAACAAAAAAGAAGTTTAGATTAGATTAGTGTAGATATAGTCATGCTCATTAAACATTGTGAATTAAAAACAGCAACTCACATCGCCTTTAATGAAGTATTTGAGGGTGAAATCTTTCTGTGAAAGCAGGAAGATCCTCTTGAGAAACTGCTTGTTGTCTCTGCCCTTCTTCCAGAGTGTTGTCTCAACCAGATCTGGGGGTAATGTATAATATATCAACTCCTTTTCATTATAAAGCTCTCAAGTACTAAGGCCCAAAGAGGCGGTAATCTGTTCCTTAACAAGTTCTTATAATGTGGCCAAAGTAGTCTTTAATGAAACACAACAAACAAAAGTCTCAGTTTGTCATAATTAAATTGAACAAAAGCCAAAAAAAGAATGCTGTCGTGCAGCAACTTTTGGTTACTGTTCTTAAATACATTGCTTAATTTAAATTGAATATTTGTGCACCTAAGGGTCTGAACTTTGACCTGATTATTGCAAGTCATTCTGCTGTTGATCATTGTCCTGTTCAATACATTTCAGCCAAGATTTAGCTGTTGGAGCTACCATTTGACAATTAAATATTTTAATATACAGGAGAGTCATTTAAGTTTGAGTCAGTGATCACAATCTCCAGGTCCCGTTGCTGCAAAACTAACCCAATTCATCATGCTAAACCACCTTGAGATTTGTTGTTTTCCTGTGTTTGGTGTCTAACCACATAAAGAGAAGAGGCTTTCTCCTCACAATTCTCCTAAACAAGCCATACTTGCTCAGTCCTTTTCTTATTTCACTATCTTATTTTACTGTTATGAATTTTATCATGTGACATGCTAACTGAGACCTGTAGAAAATAAACCTTGGGGTAAACCTGCTAGGACGAACCACAATAGCCACAATAAACATGCATACATGTAGTAAACAGAGACTATATGACAAGCTTAAGACAACTGTCTTCAATGCTTTCCTTTTATGAACAATCTTTCCCACTGAATATCCAGGGACTTCTTTAAAGAGGCTCAATAACCCTTCCCAAAATGGTGGATAGAAACTATTTCTGATGTCTTTACTCCTTAGCATTGGTTTAACTCATATGTGAATTCTCCAGCAATCTGCCAAAACTTGCATTTGGTACCACTTGGCTTCTATCTGCATTCCTAATTTCTACAGAGGCAGTAGGGGTGCAATTAGTTTTTCACACACTGCTATTATTCTTTTGGTTAGTTTTTGTTTAACATGCAATTACATGGTGAAATATGTAATGTGCTGTGACTGGAACTCTATTGACCTATTTTTTTAGACATGATGAAAACCATTTGTTTCTTCAGTGAGAGAGGGCATACCTTCTTTTTTCCATGAACGAATATTATTTTTGGAAAAATAAAAATAAACTTAAAAAAATGCAAAATTCTGTATATTTTCATGTGGCAGAGATGTTACCAGAGTTATAAGCTTGTAGAAAGTTTTCATGTTCTCCTGTGAATTCCCTTCGTTCATACTTTGCCCGAATCCATTGATCCTTGAGAACGCTGAGAAGAGGAAACAGATTTAAATTTCTGTGTGGAAGTAAACAGACACTGATAAGGTTTTTTTTCTTTGTTGTTGTTTGACTGGTAATGGCTAGACCTCTGTACTCAGCAGTCACGCCTCTGTATTGTTCCTCTTTTGCTGTTTGCAACATGACCTCTCCTTTCCCATTCTCTAAAAAAGCCATTTATTGTCCTTATTTTACACTTCTGCTGAACTAAACAATTGATAAGTGACTTTCACTCACGCACAGTCTTTTAGTTGTGGCCTGTAGTAAAAGGCTGGGACACACTTCTCAAAAATGTCTTTAGCTGCAGAGTTTCCCCTCTCTTGCATGAACTGAAATGAGGAGATAAGAGGTTAAAAAGTGTTAAAGGACACTACGTTCTCATTCACTTCCTTGCATGTTCCAAAATATCAGAAGTAAATCCTGCATGGCACAAAATGGCACATTTACCAGGCTATCAAAAAACTTAAGCGTGCTAATTAGTTAAATAACTGAATGCTTAAAGGTTGGACTGAAAAAAAAAACAAAGCAGTTCACATTTAACATAGCGAAACATAAAATGAATGGGTATGCATGCGTATTAAAACATTACAAATAATTACCTCCACAAGTGAATCTTCCCAGTAATCTAACCGAATAGATTTGACTTTGCTGACAGTGGGCAAACTACGATGCATCCCTGAACAATTCAGGCACACAAAGACTCCAAGAGTATACGAGGCCCAATCAGGCTCTGTGAAAAAACATTTATCACAATTGTAAGCAGGTTAAACACACAAAATAATTTTGGTTTTCCGTCTTTCTTTTACAAAAGTAAACATTGTAAAAATAAAAAAAAAGTAAGGCTTTTAGTAAAGAAGAGTTGGGAGTTATTATAGGAACTATGAGGTCATATCACAGATATAGAGCAGTCACTGCTCACATTCTAAATTAGTATTAAAAAATTTGGCTTTTTTTGAAAAAGTCTAATATCATTAATTCCATAGGAACATTACATGGGTCTAATCTGTTTACTGCTCTTATACTTAATGAATAGGCATACTATGAGTATAAATTTGTCTAAGTCAAACTATCTTAATAAAATACCACCATGTACAGACATGTTTGGCGTGAATATTTTCCGTGAACTCACCTGGAGCTGCACAGTCAGCACACAAGTTGTTTCCTGGCTTCCGCACCAAATCCAGCAAAATTTTATTATTTCTTCCTAGAGTGGCCATACACAAAGATAGTTAGCTTCTGTCAAGAATGACAGTTAAATCCATACAAAACAGCCCTTCTGTGTAAATTTCATAATGATTCCGGACGTCTGCACAGCCCTCTACTACTCTGTTGCAGGTGAAAACAGAGTTTCTTGTCACTGGCCCAGTATTTCCTCTTACTAGGGCAACATCATGAAATATATTGTTCTCCACACAAATGCAGAGGTCCAGAAATAACAGAGAAAGGAAGTGAAACAGACGTCACTCTGAAACAAACTAACTGACTTATTGCACCACTTAATTGGGTCATAGTTTATAAAAAGTGTAACTAAGTGGATGAACTCATGCAAGGAAATGGGTTGGTCTATGGGTTCTTCACTTAAAAATACAATTAAGAAAAAAATATTTTTAAAACGTTTTGTAAGTTTTATTATGTACAGTATCTTATTGGTGGCTTTTTATTATCATGAAAACAAATCTGAAGTCTCTTAAACACACTTCTCATTAATTGAATAAAAATGCTAATATGGCTAAACTCCGGTGTCATGTGTCTTTTCTAATTTATTCTGTTTAGTGATGTGTGGTGGGACAAAATTGTCATGTTCACTTTCTAGTATTCCTAGAACATGATAATGCCCCAAGTCCCTCTTAAAAGAAGAATCACACGCAAAAGGAAAAGGAGCAGAAGAAAGTGAAAATACCCGGTAACGGCAAGGAGGACGAGGGGGTCAGCACAGAAATGCAACAGGACCAGATCAGAGCCTAGAGACTCTTCATCCTAGTTAACACCACACCTAGAATTTATCTGAAATTCTAGACCTGAACAATCTTTAAGAGTTTTAACACAACAGGTTTTATCCATTACCAGTGCAACTCTGGCCTCGATCAGTCTGAATGCAGACAGATGGTGTAAGAAGATCCAAGAAGTGTGGAGAAAGATCTATCAGAGGCACCAAAACCCTGGCCTATAGGAGCACATTTAATTCTGTTCCCACTCCTTTTCTTCTTCAGCTATGGCTGTCCTAGCAGCAGGACCTCCTTTTCTCCTTGGAGGCCTACTGTACCTTACAGGTGCTGTGATCACAAGTGTTAGCCGCTACTTAGCAGCTACTGATGCTAGCCACTTTGACAGCAACAGCTGCACGGACTCTGTGGGAGGCAACAGATTTATAAGATAGTTTAGTGTAAAGCAGATAATGTTTTTACATTATTAGAGAAACCTACCTTTCTCCTGTTTGAAACCAGTACGTACTATACTTCACTTTATTAAGAAATTATTATTGTTTTGATAATGACATTTGTTGAAGCAGGCAGTCACAGCACTGTATTTCAGGCCTCAAACAGGCTGAAAACATATACACTCATAAGAAGCATTGCTCTTGGAAGTTTTGCAGTTATGTGTAGCACTGTTCTGAATGATCATGGCCAACCTTCTAAGAAAAGACATTATGTTGATGGTAATATACTGTATGTCTATCCAAAATTCCACAAAATACCTGAATCATCAGTAATCACATTGATGCCACATGCATCTGGCTCAAAGGCTCAAAGGTTACGTAAATCAACACAGATATATCCCATTACGACTACTTTTAATATATTTAAAAGGCTGACGTTTACATTACACTTCACATGTTTTCTTTATACAAGATTACCTGACCAGGATATCTTCTTCATTTTACTGCACTGTTGCCAATTAATTTGTATATACATTATTAGTTTTTTTGTTTGTTTGTTGTGGTTAAACTGTAGATCTGTTTAACTATTCTAACCACAATTGATTTGGGTGGTGACAACACAGCAGTACCCATTGTGTAAACATTCCCAGTATTTTAATAAACACTTTCAGAGGTAGTAACATTAAATGAGTTTTAGGTATAAAGGCATGGGTAAAATATAAAGTCCAACAGACTACAATTGTTTATTTATTTATTTAGCACCAACAACCTGTCATTATTTAACATGTACAAAACAGAGGAAAACAAAAAAATCCACTTTTACAAATAATAACATAGGTAACTATGGCAAGTTTTTTTAAAATAGGATTTGAGCACAAAAATAGGACTGTCTTTATATGTCCATTATCTGTTACAACAATGAAATGTCCAAGATGCTGTTGGTAGTTGGTCGTGTGCCCACCACTGAGTAGATTGACCTAAATCCCGAGGTAAAAAACCCTTTAACTTCGGTCTCTATAACTGAATAAATACAATTAGAAAATTAATTATAAAGTCCCTCGGAACTTATGTGAGTGACGTCACTTGCTGTTTACACCGGACAGTTAAACGGTCGGACACCAAACAAGCTAAGGGCAAAATTGTTCAACTTACACGATGCAACAGTACAAAACGTTACACTTACATTTTTAGAAACAATGATGTGGATCGTTAGGCGTTTTGTGACGTCGATCGTTCAGAGAGGTTAGTACCTGTGGAAAAAATGAAATAATATTTTTATGTGACAAGCAATGTAGCAGCTAGGTGTTATGCAAAGCAAGTGTAACACTTGTTTAAATATTTTTTTAAGTACAATAGGTTGGTTGTTTTCCTCTAATTAAAGTGTGAATATTTTTCCATCCATTTTCTATACGGCTTATTGGTAACGCGGTGGTTGGGGGGGGGGGGCACATTCTAAAAGCTAAAGCAGTCACATGTCTTGAAACGGCTCCCTTCTTCCTCTGTAGCTCATTACACAGGACAGCCCGGTTTACTCCGCCGATCCCGGTACAGCTCCCTTCCTGAATTGGAACTGCGTTACCTCCAGTGCACATGTTGCTGGAGAAGCCGGGTTCCCGTCGCAGGTTTCGAGACCTTGAACGCCACCCTCTCCTCCACCTCTGACCCTTGCAGGGAGGACGGCGGTGGACCTCTGGATGCCTACTACACCTCCGAACAACGGGACATAATCCTCCAGCTCCTAAACAATGCTCCCCCGTCGGAACTGGCCTGCATAAAGCTACTGAGAGGCCGCAAATCGCTCAACATAGTCGAGTACAGGACCAAAAACGGACCCTTTAAAACTCTTGAAAGTGTGGTAAATGTGCCGCTGCTGAAGCACAAAAGTGCCGTAGTAGTATTTAACTCTATTCTGAACCCCGTGAAGAAAGAGAAGAAAGTGAGGATACAGCTGGCTAAGTTTATAAGGCCAGAGGTGGACAGGTCCTGGTTGGAGGTGAGTCTCTAGCACTGCATTATGCTGTTAATGGTCACACTTCACCCTTGTTGTGTTAGACGTGATTTGAAAATTTGAACAATAATGATGTTCTCCCGTCATATGTCATGACTGAATTTGTGTGTTCAGGATGCCAATTCAATTGTATCAATAGTATGTGGTACAAATAAAATTGCCTGGGCTCATGTGGACCGTGGGATGATGGTATTGGACTGGCAGCAGCTAGATTGCCCTAATTTCTTGAAAGGGGCGTACATGGCCTCGTCTTATTTAAACGATGTAAGTATATACACATGGTAATACTTGTACCTGTTTGATTGCAATATGAACTTGTCTCTTTCTTAACAATATAATTTTCTTTGCTATAAGGTCTCTTCAGCCGTGGCCCTCCTACCTTCAGCAGACTTCTACTTAATAGAGAAACCGTCCATCTCGGTCCAGAATACAACTTTATTCCCCATCATGGCCCATATGAGGGCTGTGGAGGCCATGCTCTTTGCTCTGCTGGAGCCCAAAACATCCCCACCAGAATCTAATATTCCTCCCAGGTCAGAAAATAGATTTTGATTACAACTTGAGAAACACACCAATGTTTTACTGGTGTGTTTAATGGCACATTGACATTAAAGGTGTGTTTTTATTTTTAAACCCCAAAACACAAACCTGAGTGGGTTGCAACCAAATGAAAATGAAGGGCCAACAAGTTGGAGAAGATTTTTATGTAGCCACCTGGGGGATCTTCCCCCACCACCCGACAAGTAAATAACAAAAAAAATAACTGGAAAGGTGGTTGATTCCGTTTATACGAACACTGACATGTTTTTTATTTGTTGTAGTTATTTACTGAAGTGTTTGGTATCATGACTAATGGAACACACACATTGCAGACAAGCTGCTCTCATAGGAAAATGTTTCTGGTCACTTTGTGCAAAACAAATAACCAGTGAGTAATGGTAAATATACAATGTTAAATAAATTGCACACATATTAATTTCACACGTTCATTGCCAGTTGTATTAGAAAAATATTTTACGGTAGTATTAATCATTAACATTCATTGTTGAAGCTTTTTTGTTGCATGTTGTCTGCGTGTTATGCTTGGCAACAAATCTTTTTGCTTTGGCTGTGCATGTGCACTAATCAGATTGTGAATTTTTCTTTGACAGTGGTATCACCTTATTTTTTGCAAGATTCTCTAGGAATGCCTTTGTAAGATCATTAAAAAGGGTAACCATCCAACAGAGACAATAACTAACTTGACAATAACTAAAAAACAACACTAAAAATGCAAGAGGCCATCTGCCAACTTTGTTTTTAAGACCCCAAACTTGCAGTATATTCAAGTAATTATAAGGATTCATAATTGCTTTGTGACGTTTTAGTTTACAAACCCAAAATGTAAAATTAATTCAAATACATCAAGTTTGTCCTCTTCATGGCATATTGAGTGTCCATTTTGGCAATTATTGACAATGAACTAAAAATTTGTTATTAATTGATACATGCTTTCCTTCCTTTGCAGGGTTCTCAACATGATGAGAACTGCCGTGGGACGCCATTTTGGACTGATGGTGGGTGAATCTCGGACCAGTGGGGCACAGACAGTCCGAAAGCTGATGACCGAGTCTGTGACGCAGAAGCTCCCCAGGTTAAACTTTCCCCAGGAGCTCCTGGTCAGATACAGGAATTACTTTCAAATGGGCAGCAGAAGAGGAGGGGAAGAGCTCTGCGATGCACTGCTTCAGGCCGTGGCTTTCTATGAACTTCTGAGCGAATCCTCTTGATAGAAGTTGCCTGGATGACTTTTTTTTTCTTTAACATTTGTGGTCTTAATGCTGTCTCTTTGATCCCCATGGCGCTTGTGTAAAAACTCTGCATCACCCAAACGTGGACCTGAACAATTACTGGTACATAAATGTAAAAAAAAATATTTATTTATATTACATGACTGCTCATAAATGGGAATAAAACACAATTTCTCTTCTTAGCTGCAGGAAGTTAATTGTTTAGAGTATTTAGGAAGAAATAAGTACACTGTGAAGTTCTGGGATTCCAGATTTCTCTTCAAGGGAAATCTTCTTCTAGGAGTTCCATGGCTGATTTTGACAGGCTGAAGTGTGTGTCGTTTAGGTCCATCAAACACCTGACGAAGGAGACACATCATTAAATTAAATTACTGTGTGCATTCAGACTTGGTTTTCATCATTTTTTAAACAAACACATATAAATTATACACTGTTTGAACAGAAGAGCTCAAAGTGAACACGTGTATAAAGGTAAACCCCACCTCGCTAGCTCTCCTTTCTGTTTCCGTGCATTAAAGAAGCGCCAGATTGAACGGAGGAACGGCAGGTAGTCAACGCTGACAGCCCGTCTGTCCCCCCGCAGGCTGTAGGGTTCACTGCTCTGCAGCATCCTGCTCAGTCTGAATCTCCTCTTTGCCTCACTGCAGTGCACATCAAAAGTGTAATTAAGTGTAACTGATTAAAAATTGAAGTGAAATAGGAATTCTTTTTCAAAGGGAAAATGAAGCTTTTGTCCTAAATTATGGCAGCTTCTGAACTTATTGATCCAAATTAAGAATATCTTTTTAACATACATTTTAAAAACTTTGACATTCACCGATACCCAAAACTTCCTTTAAAATAATCTTTAGATTTTTTATACAAAGGTCTTCTCCCTGCCGACTCACAAGGGATAGTCGATAACCTTTAGAAAAAGCAAATAGTTGACTTGGAAAAAGTCCCTAAAACAATTGCCTCAAAACATAAGTTTAAAAGTTTCATCTTCTACTTCTTGCCATTAAGAAGTTTTATTCAAACTTTTTCACTTTTTTTTAATAAACCTTTACATTTCAAGAATGACTAAAGAAGAAACGGAGTAAAAGTATAAGTGTGTAGACCCTAACCCTTTAACACCATACATACAGTTGATAAAGAGATTTCTGAGACCTATTGCACCTTCATTTAGTCTAAACTTTGCTGAACTAAATAATATTTCCATTTTTTGCATTTTAGTTTAAAAATGAGGCCGAAAATAAGTGATTCAATTTAAACAATCTAAATTATATTCCATTTAGTTAACCAAACAAACAAAGAGCTTGCTCACCGAGTTGAACACAGAGGTTGGAAAGTAAAGCTAAGTCTCTGTCTTTTACAAGAGGCGTATGATGTATGTTTCAGCTCCAAAGTGCCTCTATGGCTCACAGTCCAAAGCTCATACATTCTCTGCCAGGAAAGCCTACACCCCAAACCCTCAACTGTGGCCTTCATATCCAGAATATTGTCCTGGATTGTGCTGGTGGGGTCCTCCTCGTTCACTTCGTCCACCAAACCGTCCTTTATTGCTGCTCCTGTCCACACGAATGTTTCAGGCACACATGAACCTGAAACAAGCGTCCGTGAACCTGAGAGACTGGCGTCAATATATGACATGACGTCATAGAAGTCCTTCAGGGCGTCTAAACAGTCGGTTACACCATCGTCGCTTCGATAAGTTTCTTCTCTGGAACTCAGATCTGATGATGATGTTGGAATACTTTTCTTTCGGCTGAGCTGGTGGCCACTCCCAACAGGTTTCCTGTATTTCACACAAACCTTTCTGCTCAGCCTCTGGACGGGAGAGTCCGTGATAGTGGATTGTGGCTCACTCTGTGGCCTAGAATGAGGTATTCTGTTCAGGTGCTGTGATGGGGTTCCCTTGTCCATAAAAGAAGAAGTCAGAAGAAGCTCCAAGTTTGAATAGAGAAGCGGCACATCTCTCCTCCAGCTCACAGCCAGGAGGTTCAGGCTCCTTCTGAGGCCCGTTTCTGTTTCAGACCAGGAGCCATACTGCAGAAGAATCATAGACAAACTGCTGAGTGCTGCGAAGTATTTAAGGGTGAAAACATGAGAATGACAAAGGCTTATAGAAAGAAAAACTTGCTTTTAAAAATTCCAGAAGATGACTTAGGGTTCCATTTGAGAAACCCAACATCAGAGCAGAGCAGGTTGTTGGGTGTGATGGAGGCTGTGTGTCTGAACTCTCTCCCTCAGGGGCTTCTAAGTCTAAAGAAAACAATGGTACACATGGGGTACTTTGACTCAAACCAACCATTCAATTAATAGACAGAGCAAGGAAAAAATGTAAACAAAAATAACTAGTACTATAATGCAACAATTGCCCAATGTTAGCTGGGATAAGCTCCAGCTCCCAATGACCGTACTAGAAATAAGTGTTATGGACAGTGAATAAATAGATGGATGAATGAGTGTTGATGTGGCTTCAATCCCCAAAAACACACATGCTTCTGAGAAATCGTCTGGTAACAGGATTGGACAAAAAATAAGTGGAAAAGCAACTGAATGCCAGAAGAAAAGCAGTGAAAGACTTTTAACATTCTGTTAAAGACCAGTTTGAAAGGATTAAAAGAAAGTCTGGTTCCTTTAAAGCAAACTATTAGAAATTAAGAGTGGCTTTGGTCTACTTGCGCACATTGCTGTAGATTGCTGCAGGAAACTCACACTGTGGACAGGCTGATTCTGTGGGGGACCATTCAATCTGAGAAGCTAATCCTCTGCCACTGCAGACCCAGAGCTGCAGCTGCAGCAGGCAGCGTCTCACATCGCCACGGCTGAGTGTGAACAGGCTGCTCACATCCTCAAACTCCAGTTGAGCTTTCTCAGCCAGACATACAAGCTGCAGGTAGCTGCAAACATTCGCCTTCAAAACAGAGAGAGCAACTTTAAAACAGTCTTGGCTGTGCAGTGCGGAGACAAAAACCTGCAGCTCCCTCTGAATCTATAAAACGAAATACGGGTAACTCACTGCAGACGGAGTTTTGAAAATGATTTCCTCCATGCTGCAGTCAAATCTTTCTTTGAAGAAAGGATCTGAGGATGACATTAATTTCATATTACAGCTGGTCCTCAAATTTTTTATTTTATTAGTGCTGTCCATAGTGTGTGTGGTATGTTTACCATTTGTGGTCAGAATAACCGGCCTCCTTGTGGTTGTCATGAAAGCCTTGATAGCCGCGAGGAAACCAACGTCATCCTCAAATATGACATCGACCTGTGGGAGTGGACAGTGGGACATGAACCAGCTGAGAATGGACCCGATTTGAAACCTCACATCCAGTGACTTCTTACCTCTTCAAACAGAATGAGGGAGGTGGCCATCCTCTTGCTTCGTGTTGCTGTTTGATCACAGTTGGTCAGCGAGCCATCCAGCCCCCTGCCTCCTGGTTTCATGACACCAAAGTGTGGGTGATCTGCCACCTCCCTTCTCTTGAAGTAGTGAGCCAGTGTAACAGTGGCAGGTTTAGCCTTAATCTTGCGACCAGAGGAGCTGGTGTTGAGCGCTGGCCTCTTCTTTGAGGTAGTGGTACCATTTTTAAGACACCCTGTTTTTCCTGTTAAAGAAAAATAAATTAACAAAACAGGTGGAGGGGAAAAAAAACCCAGTACAGCAGGGGTGTCAAACTGTGTGCTGCTGATGGAGCTCGGAGACTGACACATAGTTCAGAAATTGATTCCTTAAAACTATGGCAACTAAAAATGTTTTGAAATCCTAGTGTTTGTTGAAAAAAAAATACAGTTGACTGATTTTAAGAGCCACAAAGGACTTAAATATTTTGTTCCAAATAAAAGAAACAAATAGACTTCCTTCTTTTTTACCCCCAACACTTCAAGGCAGCCACCATAACCTATTGTATCTTACCAGGTAAAGCCTCAGCTTTTAGACGGCAGCTGCTAGCAGCATAGTTGCTAAAGTACGCTGGTTTCAATGGGTACTTCCCGGAAGTCTCCACCAGGTGAGACTGTGTAGCTTCCCTCAGCTGGGACAGAACATGGCGCCCGCTGCGCTGTGAGGAGCTGTTAACCTCAAACACCTTTGATTGGAAAGGGACAGCAAATTGTGATGAGCACATTATTGTGTAAATCTGCCATTGTGAAAAAAAAACTGAAAAAGAAAAAGAAGTTTAAAGTCGTGTGATATCTGGGAAGACGTTGTAAAAATTATCAACACAAAAAAATCTGCAACCATAGTCATTGCTATTTGATGTGTTGACCACCAAGGACAACCCATTGAACTGGTCATGGACTGGTGCCAGCTAAACTGCCTCCAGCTAGACATGTGAAAAAACTAAGGAACTTGTTGACGATTTCCACAGGGCAACTCACTTCCGTCCAGCACGAGTGAATATGCAGGGAATGGACATTAAAATAGTGACATCTTATATGTATCTGGGTATTCATCTCAAAAACAAACCGGACTGGACTCATAACACCACTGCACTTCACAGGAAAGGCCAGAGCAGACTATCTGCTCAGAAGAACAGGGTTTGAAATGCAAGGAGCACTCCTGAGGACCTTTTATGAGTCTGTTGTGGCATCAGTCCTTTTCCATGAAATGATCTGCTAGGGAATATCATCTTTGGATGGGAAGAGACTAGAAAAATTCAAGTTACCTATTTAAACATTTTGGTTTAATGTCATTTCACACCCTGTATTTTGCTCACAAGCCTATTTATTCCCATATAATTCTATTACATAACTATGTCTGCATTTTATCATGTCCTTTCACACTGCTGACTCAACAAGAAAACAAGGCTGGGTGCCCTTCAAGAAGGTTAGCTTCGCATGTTTTGATCAATCAGAAGGAAGTTGAAAGATCCTTCAGACAGAAATACAGTACATGATCATAAAAAGACAACAAATAAATGGGTTTAAGGAGAAATGGACATATGAGAGCATCTGTGAATGAAGGGAAAATCAAAACACGTGATTAGAAATAGTCAGATCAAATAAATTGCTTGAATGAACAATGTATTAATAACAAATAGCGAAAGAAAATCTCATAAGAAAATATAACGGTACTCAATACAGGCTTGAAAAAATAAAGAGACATGAATACACGACAAAACTAAAAAGGGTTTTTCCTGCGAAACAGCGGTGAGAATGCCTAATGCTGAAGGGAGGCACCAGATGATGCCAAAGAAAAGCTGAAAAAGACATAGAAACCATCAGCAAAAGAGAATACTGAAATGTGGCAAAAAGTAAATGGAAAGTAAAAGAACAATGGCTGAGGGATGCTTTTAAGATAAACTGGAGAGTGGAAGAAGAATGTCAAAAGGATTACAGAAGAAGAAATTAGTAAAAGGCCATAAGATTATCAATGAGGTACCAAAAGGTTCAACGCAGAGCTAGACAGTCCAGCATGAATGGTTGTGTGTTTGCTGCATTAAACGTGTGTTCCTGTGTATAACTGTGTGTTTCGTTATGCTGGCTGAATGACACAGAGCAGAGCAGTCATTACTTGTCATGGTGATGGACAGGTGTATCCAGTCAGATACAAACTCTGGTCAAAGCTGGTTCAACAGCCAAAAGTTGTTGAACCAATCAATAAAGTACCAAAAGACTGTAATTGGATTTGAAAGGAGACCTCTCAACCTGTGGTCAAATACTCCAGCACTGAGCAATACCCCGCTTTGATCTCCCACTCTAACTTGGCTTCATAGGAATACATTGTAAAAATTTATAGGAAATTTTAATTATTCTAAAATCACTAGAAGATGGCCCCATAGATGGTTCTCCACGGGAGAAATAAAGCAAAAAAAGTTGAATAATTTAAAAAGTCGAAAAGATTTTAACACCAAAAGAGCACCCATGTCCCGAAGAATATGAACGTTTTGATACCTTATTTGTTGAAATCAGCTGAAAACTGTGGACGGAGTTAAACGCAGAAAAACGTACAGAATAAAGAATGATAAAGAGAAACAGAAAAACAATAGTGACACAAATAAAAAAATAAAAAATGTTGAAGTAGGTCACTTAAATTATAAACAGAGGCGCATAATGACAGGTGGAAATTAGAGTAAAAATATATTGTTTATGGTTTAAATAATTGTGAGTGGTTTTATTTTTAGCATATCAATATTCTGTTGAGACATTTATATATTTCTGGTTTTCTTTTAAATACTGGGAGCTTTGTCCTTTCTAATAATATGGCAAAATAATCTTTTATTACTCCATTTAAAAATCCCCACCTTAAAGCCAAGTTCCTGAGCACAGGCATACACTGAGGCAGTCTTGCCCACACCTGAAGGTCCCGTGATGAGCATGGCGTTACACAGAGGCTGCTTGCCTTCATTCCCAGACCCCGCTTCGCCTTGGAAGTCTCCACAGTCCCATGAACCTGTACAGGAGGAGTCAGCCTCAGGATGACTAAATAATCAGGTAAAACATTAAAACTCTACACTAGAGAAAGACCAAAAGTAGAAAAGTATGCTGTACTGCAGCCTGGAAATGCCACGTCAGTGTTCATACAAAGTGCATGAATAAAAGGTGAGTTTCCAGTTTTTACCATGAGCCTTTTCCTGTCCTTTCTGCTCCTCCATTTTTCTCCTCTCGTCACTGTCAGCTCTGAGTTTCCATTGCCTCAACCAACTGAACTCCAGAAAAAAAAGGCACAACAAAAAGAAGATATCTATAATCCTCCTCTGGTGTTATAGACTAAATGAGACATTGGAGTAATCACCTGAGCAGTTTAGTCACAGAGCCAGCATTACCAATGACTTCACTTGAATGTTTAGGAACGTACTTTTCTGTCCAAAGCACTTCCTCAACATTAGGTTCTAGAAGACAAAAGTAGAAAAACTAGTCAATTTCTCCAATTTAAAACGGCAATAAAAACCAATGAAGATGGAAAAGCTCTACCTCTTTGAGTGTGAGAGCCTTTAAATAACTCGAATTTGGAATGATTCCATTCACAGTTGTTACCCAGGCTCCTGGTTTGTCGTTTCAACCTGCGAGAACGGCTCAGCTTGCTTCTGCCGGTTGCTTTCTTCACATTGAGGGCAGAACCTTCCAAGATATCTCCTCTTGACAGTTGACAGGGAAAGGTCCTATGCTCTGCAGCAGGACTAGACCTCAGGCGTTTTGTGCAGCTTGCAGGGGTTTCATTCTCAAGTTTTCTCTTCTCTTTTAAGGGCCTTTTCAAGGGCTCTAGGTGGCAACAAAAGTAAGGCATTGAAGTAAAAACAATTAAAGATAGAGCAGCGGTAAAGACCCTCACCCCTCACCGGTGCCCCAAAAACGAACGCCCCAACGATTTTGGCAGGGCCTCTGAAGAATATGGAGATGGTTTTATCCAAGAAGCCAATTGGTGACAATTTAAAACCCATGTCAAAGCATTCCCCCTGTAAGCACTTTGTCCAAAATATTTATACTAAACATGATTTTTGAGGGTTCAGCTTCAGCTACAAATTACAACCCTAAGCCTCATCACAATTTATATTCTGTATGATTCTGTAAAAAATAGGAGCCTTCATATAACCAGGTGGCTTTAAAAGCTAGCCTACCAAATGTAAAAACAGAAAAAAGGGGTTGATGAGAGAAAAAAGTGAAAAATAAAATCTAAAAAACAGTATATAAAATGTAAACAAAATCCTTAAACAAACACACAAAGGAGAGTGCTGAAGCTTTAAGAGCACATCTAATTTTGTATTATTTTTTTGATTGGCTCTTACACTACAATTGCTAACAACCAGGAAATACGCAGATAACAAGAGAAACTGTCAAAAAGTCAAGAAAAAACAAACAATGAGATTAAGAATGTAAACTGTTATCAAGTCCAAAGGAGACCGTACAAAATATGAAGTGTCCAAGTTATTCTGTGCAAGGAAGGACTACTTAGTTCTTTAATTGGTTATTTACCAAATTGATCAAATATAATTTTTAGTTATAAACCGGAAAGAATTTACACAAACAATGTTCACTTGTTGTTTTAACAAATGTATTAAGAACTGTGAACATATGCATGCATGGAAGGATGGAGGATGACAAAAAAATACAAAATTAGATACAAACATAAATAGATGGATGGAGGGCTATGACCTAAGTACAGAAAATGCATTTCCCTCACCTTCAACTACTACTGTGATGAATTTTGGAGTGATCCATAATCAATCCCAAGCATGAATTATGGGTTAGGGTTAGTGACAGGGACAGTGCACTTTATAAGCAAGACTACTTTCCTGTTTTTAATGGCTCACTGTAGAAAAATTCTAAGGAAGCAACTTGATGTTCTGTCGTTTTGCCATGTTGTAGACGTTAAAAGTTCTGCTGAGCAAATGTTGAAACGTATGTGTTCAAGTGGCTTGCTGCTTCACATAAAAGTGCCAAACAAGTTACAACTTATTTCCAAAGGATGACATAACCCCTTTAAAGGGCAAGTGAATATATTTAATTGTTTTCAAACTAGTTTTTTTTTTTAAAGTGTCTATTTGTGTAAACCCATCATATTTGTGTTCAAGTTAAGGAAGTCCAATGTTAAGTGTTTTAATAATAATTCCAATTTCAATAGAGTTTAAAAGTTTATGATTTTTATAATTGTTAAAAATTCTAAGTATACAAATTATGCACGTGCATTTTTATATATTCACTACACACATTTTTTAACTGGGCATGGAACCGTATATCTTCAGTCGTTTGACTTCTGACCACTACTGATCCAATGGGGTTTTTAAGCATGGGACTGTGATCATGTACAAGTTCAATTCAACTAAAAAGGTTTAGGCTCACCTTTGGATCCGTTCTCCTCCAGCGCCTCAGTTGCCTTCTTCTGCAAGGCACGGAAAACAGTCTGGACTGGAAATGCTGAATTTAACGTCTGAATTTCTTCCAGACATCTGTGCACATCTGACGACAGTTGACCTCTCACGGTGTTCACAACACACCCTTTTGTCTCCCTGACTTCACGGGCTTTAGGTGACTTTTCCAGCAAGCGGTCATTTCGAGCACCGAGCCCCGATTCCGGTGCGTCCTCAGCTCGTTGACCTTCATGAGAGCTTCGTCTGTTCTGCCGTAAAAAAATTGGTGCAATTTTGAGCCCCTCTTTGCTAATTCCATCCCCTTTCTCAGCCGTTGGACCCCTTTCTTGCTTGATTTCGACATAAGAGCAGCTCGACTCTGAATGGACATTCACTCCAGACGTTAGCGAGCTGCTTTTGGACAGTGTCAGTTTCCTATCGAATACCTTGTTCCGTTTAAGTTTGTTTTGCATTTCAGAAGATTGAAAACTCTCGACATAGTCACACGTTACGTAGCATTATTTTGGATTTGGCGCTAACTAATTACACCATACGCACCGGCAACGTCATTTTGTGCGACGCAAATTTCAGGAAAAATACGTTCTTTAAAAACAAAACACACACTAAACCAAATTCACGGCAGTGTTTCGTTTTTCCACCATAGAAAATCTATATGAATATTCAGAGAAGAAAGTCCCTTAGCTTTCAGACATTCTGACGTTTGGCATTACATTGTTTGTCGCTTTAAATATGCGTCATGCCATTGAACCACCATAGCTCGTGTAAAAATATGATGCTCTTTATATGCCAGGTAAGCGAAACTAATGTTCAGTTGCTAGGAAAATGTTTGTACAGATTATGACAGTTATGAACAATTTTTAGTTTACGGTTGTCCTATTTTCTATTATTTTATATCACTCAGAAAAGGTGTTAAGTGATACCTTCTGACACTAAAATTGTGGCTGTTCTATAAATTTTAGTACAACACAGTTCATTAAAAAAAAAAACATGCAATCAATACACTTACGATATTCACTACAGGGATAGGCTCCAGTCCCCCCGAGACCCCATTAGGGAATAAGCTGTTACGATAATGGATGGATGGATAGTATGCAAGCAATTGAATGAAGTGTGCAACATAGCAAACCGGTAAATGGATTTTATTTGATTAAATATAAAATACTCCTAAGCCAGAGTGTGTCGTTCACATATGAATAACTTCTTTCAATGAACATTAAAATGACTGATCTGGCTGTCCACAGAAGAAGTCCAATGAATAATGAAAGCTGTTGAACACCATTCAATAACAAACGTAACCACTATTTGAAAATTTGGTTATGGAATGACCACAAAAAAGGAAGAACTAATATACCGGTACTGGTGAAAAATGTTTCCATTTGGCATAAAGTGCATTTTCTGCACTCAAAATAAGAGAGAAAAAGTTGTTAAGATGTGTGCACACTGTGCCCCCTTCTGGTATAGAGGCGGAATAGACATCAATTTAGGAAATTTAAACATGGGACCTCAGTAAGTGCCTTGGCCCAAAAAAAAAAGTATGATATAAAGGATTTTTTCCTGAATTGTTTTCTGAAAACACACACAAAAAAGGTTAAAATATTTTCTTGTTGAGAAGCTGAACATTTAGGTTTTAAAAAGAAAAAAAACCCTGGAGATGTTCACTTGCTCTTTTATCCTCCAGTAGAGGGGGGGAAAAAAGGAAAATGAGCAAATTTGAACAAAAAAATGAATTCCTTTGTATACTTACAAAAAAAACAACAGACGGCAGACAAAATCAGTCAGAGAGAGAAAAGTGGTGGAAAAGTATCATAAATCACATTTGAAAAGATAACTTATCTCAGTAATGTGGCCAAAGATGCAGGTTATTTCCAGTTATCCGTGTCGAAAATCAATCTAGTTGAAACAAAAATGGAAGGCAATAAAAGGGGAAAACATGCAGGTCCACCCAGGAAAAGTAAAGGCATTAGAACAGAAAACAGCAGCTAATGTTTGTCATCAAATTTTAAGAAACTTTTTGTTATGGAAATGGGAATCAATTTCCGAAAAGCCAAATATCTGTTCACCCCTATGAGGCGAAAATGAGTTTATAGCAGGCGAAAAACAAACGGGCTGAGCCTGCAGATGACTGGCAATGAATCATTAAGTACGGAGAAAAGAGACGTTGCCACAACTTTGGTTTTAGTTGATGTTTGAAAATATTCTCAATGAAAATAAAAGTTGGTCGTAAAAGCCTGGGGAGAAACAAAGTTCTAACTGCAATTCTATTTCTTTTGGGTGATAGTTAAAAATTACTAGTACTACTTTGTTTTAAGAAGTTAATGTTCAGCTGTTAAATAAAAATGTTTAATGTCATAGATGTATTTTATTTATTTCATAGAATAAAAAAAAGGGCATCCACAAAGAATGGTTATTTCATCATTTGTGCCAGTGGTGGTGATTAAAAAACAAAAAAAACATAAGGTGCACAAGTGTCCACAGCGCCTTCTTTCATATTGTTAGCAGAAGACTGTGACGGACAAAATAGAAAAGCAATATGGGCTGAGCATTCAATGGGAAACCAGTACTGTGAGGAAAGAATTAAAAAATTCTTTCATTTTTTAACTTTAACAAAAAAGCAGAGGGAGTGATATGCTGCTGGTTTTTGGAAAGAAGCAAAAAAAAAAAAAAATCATGTTCAGAGAAGTTTATTTCCCTGACTTTCTCTGAACTAGTGTCAATTCAGGCTGAAAGGCTGTAGAGGTGAGGGGGGAAGAAAAAAAAACCTGAAAGAAAATCTGGTGTGTCCAGGATCCGAACCGATGCTTTCAACACTACCGTTGCGAAAACTTGCCGACTCACGATTTTTAGAGTGTTTTTCAGTGGTGAGATCCAACTCTGTCGTGATATTTGGCGTGGCACATTTTTATTTTAAAATGTCAATTTCAAGGTAAACTTTCTAAATACAAACACCAAGTGCTAAAATAATCAGCTAAAAAAGATACGTTTTGAACATGGCTATTTTGCATGTGTACAAATAATCCACGCTGACAACGTCACCGGTACAGTTTTTAACTGTAGTCTTCGTACAGTTGTGATACAACAATGGGCCGCAGAAGGCTGCGCCCCTAGTTTGTTCGTTCTCTCACTCAGACACGGATGCCTAAGTAGCTCCTATGTGATGCACAGCGAGTGGGACCGACCGGCATTGCGCACTCCTCAAACTCCGGGCTTGAGTAGACGTGGTTTGTTCACTTTCACATTGTTCATATTTGGTTCAGTTCTCAACTTTCAAAACCTGTTTTCACCTTGTATACTGGTCGGTGTCATGTCAGATCCTTTGCTGACCACCTATCTAAGCACCAAAAAGGTTGGTAATGTTAACTGAATTTAAACAAAAAAGAAAAACAGAAAAAAAAAACGCGGGAAAAACCCAGCGACGGTCAAAGTCTCCTCCATCCAGCTTTACGTCAGTCTGTCAAAGCGCTTTTTGTCCTCTTGCCCAGCTTCCCCCCGCTGGATGTGATAGCGCTGCCGTTGCAGGTTGCTACCGGTCCCAGGCTCTGGTCTTGCTGCTCCTCCTTGGTCTCCGGCAGCTCGTCCTGGATCTGCCGTAGCCGCGCCATGGCGCGGTCAATGGTGGCCGTGCTCACCAGGTTGAAGTCGTGCATGCTGACGAGGTGCAGCAGGAAATTGCGGCAGAGGTTGCGTCGGATGATGTGGGCGCCACGGTTCTCCACGAAAAGCATGATGGCCTGATTCATCTGGTTGTCTGCGATGAATCTACGGGTGGAACAAACGGATGTGCACTGATGAGAGAGGCTGCGAGGGGCTTGGCGATAGATTAAAGGGCTCTGTCCTGACGAAGTCTCCCGAATGCAGGATCAGAAGCCGCATACAACAAGTAAACATATTCAAAGCAAACATATACCACGTTACATGATCCAAACAAGGTCATATTCCAGAATACCAACACATCGTGGTCAGTATTCTCAGAAAAATGAATGTGTTTGACCAGTGTGTTATTTTGTACTTGCTCATGATACATAAGCCGTATGTACCAGAGATACAAGTGAATAGAGGAGTCAACTGACTGGGAGTTCTTCAACTACAAACCATCAGAAGTATCTTATACTGTGAGGGATGATTAAAGTCGATTAAAGTAAGAAGGGGTTGTATTTTGTGGGGACGGATGGGTGAAAACCTGCAGATTGAGCTAGGTCCATATTTATCAAGTTGACACACCGACATGCATCATGCATTGCACCACAACACAAATCTGAGGGCAGCTACAAAAACACCTGCAGTTCCTTTCACCTTACATACCCGTTCTTCATGACATGAAGGTTCCACAGTTTCATCACTTCTTTTTCTCCCTCGTTGACGTCCGTGAACTCGTCCAGTTGCTGCAAAATAACAAAATGAAAGAAGACAGTTTGAACACAGAGTCGTGGAAGATTAAGTACTTGCATGGGATGATGCAAGATTTTGCAGCTTTCTTTTGAAGTTCTCCATTTTTACCTCCAGCACTTGTACTTCACTTCTACTTCTGTTCATAAATATTCTTAATGATTAATCACATGATGTTTAAATCATCTCAGGGTTTTTATGTAAATAATAAAGAGGCCTGACCCATTTTTAGTGAACACAGGGAGTTTTGGGTTGTTTTTTTTGCAGTCGAGACAAATCAACTTCTCACCGTGGCAGTTTTCTCTCGAAGCCACTCCGGGTCTCTCTCATCCTCGCTGTCCACATCCATCTCCTGGGGCCGCAGGGGCATACAGCTGTCGCTGTGGAAGTACAAACGGTTGTGTCCACTGACATACGTCCTCTGCTGGTCCAACTCTCCGTCCTCAGACTCAAGGAACTCTGACGGGCTCTGTTTGGTCCTCTTTGGCCTTTTGAGGCAAAACAGAAAACACCCCACGTAATAAGTGAGAGCTTTGCAACTTCCGAACACCTAATCCAATGTCCAGCCGGAAAATAAATAAATAAATAAAGAATAGGTGACATTTACCTGGAAACCAGTACATGAGTGACAGCAGTTCTCTTGACAGGGCCGTTGCGGCTGAAGGCGAAGCCAGGCTGGCTGTGGATGTCCTGAGGATTGCCAACGTACGAGCCGTCATAGCATTCATTGATGGACACGTCTATCCTTGCTCCTTTGGGGTGAGACTGCAGATTGCACAATATTAGAAATCTGCTTTGTGTACTGTTCAGCAGAAACAAACAAATGTCAAAGTTGAAGCTATAATTCCACCAATAATAAACAGTGCTCCACACCCTTTGACGAACACCACCGTTTCTGGTTGAACTGGTGATTTTCACAGTGTCTTCAAAAACTCCAGAATATTCATTCGTGATTGGGAAGCAAACCAAAATAAAATAACTTTTTTCCCTCCGGAAAAATGCTCAAAGCTAATCTTCAAAAGCAACTGGTACATGTTGAAAAATTAACTTTTGGTCAACTTAATGAGGGGGAAACTTTGGAAAGTCTAACTGGCCAGTCAATTCAGAGAAAAGGAGGAAATTAAAACCTCTAAAACACCCCGGTGGGGGATGATAACGACTGATGATGGAATAATACAACCAACTTTCACCTCAAATTAGCATAACTATATTTCAATAGCAACGTACTACATTCTAAAACAGTGGGTGATCAGAGTGAATTCCTCAGAACCAAGTAATTGTGATTCATTAACCAGAAATCTATTTGCTATTCATCTGTAATGAAAGTTTGAATTATAGTTTCAACTCACACCTCATGTTGAGTGAAGGATTATGTGACTAACAGAGTATGTGTGCAACAAAAAACAAAGGAAAAATGTATACTTATTTGATGATGCTGTGCTAAAACTCTGCCATTGATGGGTTAAAAAACAGTCAGAACCTGAATGTAAGTGAGCTAAGCATAGTTTTCTGCTGCTTTGCCTTTTGTACTCCAAAAGCCTTTTTTTCATCTGCATGCAGAGGGACATGTTTGACCCTTGCTTACTTCAGCAGAAGACAAAACAGACTTCACACTGCTTTGGTTCAGTTGTGCTCATTTCTACCACTGCATCCCAAACGTAACCTGCTATCTCACACAGTGCTCACCTACTAAATTTTTTGCACCAATTCTGAGTTTCTCAGTTAGTTATAGACTCCATTGGTATTCCCTAAACGAGGCAACACAGAGTGAAATCTGATCTCACTTTGCCTAACTTACAGCATGTGATGTCCAGTTACATTTGTCAGGAGTTGCCATAACACACATGCAGATGGTTTCGTACCACGTAATTGAAGATGAAACGGGAGTGGGAGAGTTTCAGGTGTTTCAGCAGGCTGTAGAGTTTACTGCAGTTCAGTGTACACCAAGGACAGTGAAGATCATCCCGCGCCTCCGTCTGCTGCCGAGTGTTGTTGTTGTACAAGAACTAACCGAGAACAGACCAGTAGGTTACCAAAAAGTTCGACCACAGACTCAAAGAATTTCCACTTGCAGCAGATGCTAATGATGGATTCTTGCAGAGTAGCATAACATCAGAATTGGTGTGAAATTCTGGGGCTTAAACCCAAAGCACACATTAACCGACATTCTTAAACCATATTAGAATGTTAATGCAGATTAATTTTTTTTGCCGCAAAATACGAGACAAAAAACACGATATCACACAGCTTCCTGTAAATCAGTATCCCAGGCCAAGTGTATTCGTCACTGCTGTGTGGTGTACCTGATAAAATATACGTAGCTTCTGTCGTGGCTCACATGGGACATGCTCTTTCCTCGTCTGAATGTCTGTGCTGACTGACTCTTTCACTGCTGACAGGAACAGAGAAGGTAAGTCGTTGTGTATAATCAGATCAAAAGTGAAAATGCATTTTACAGGATGCTGCAACACTCCTTGGTTTTGTCTACATTAAGAAAAGTGTATTTTCACATTTATATCAACAGCAAAGAAACCCCTGTAAGAACAAGAAATATAAAAATATATCAATAATAATAAAAAGAAGTCGAAATCATGATCATACGAGTAACATACTTCATGAAAGCATTATTGGGGACACAAAAAAAAAAAAGATGACCGGTCAGACAAATTACATTAAAACTTGACAGCAATATGTTCCGTCAGCTGAAGATTTCTGCACTGAAACACCTAAGGAGGGCTTAACTTTATTTGATATCTTTTTTAAACCTAAGCAGGGCGACAAAGAGAACGAATAACGAAATATAACGAATAAAAAAATATTTAAAAAAGGGCTCATAATCTGCTTGTGATAGGAATTCTGCCGTTTGCTCAGTAAAATTAGCATGTCAAAATCAGTTAAGCAGTCTTCATCCCCCTTTTCAACTACAGTATCAGTAGACAATTTTCACTCTTATCTAATATGATAAACACACCTTATACATTTTTGATAAAAACTAATAGCCCTACAAAACATAAGTAAGAATATTTGTCCCACAATCCCATGTTCTTCTGTTATTTCTACATACTCATGAGGGCAGCACGGTGGTGGCTGGTTCTGGTCTCCATGGGGCTGGAACTGTCGGAGTTGCGTGTAGAGAGTGGTTTGGCGGCTGGGGCGGCGGACTTTCCGCTGGCGTCGCCTGTCCAGCGCAGGGTGAACTGAAGAGTGGGTCCCTGAGAAAATGTCTCAAACGGCGGCAGCCTCTGTGGAACGGTCACATAGAAAAAGCTTATGGTATGTCCTGAAGTCCCTCTTTCTATATAATGGAGGTTTAAAAGTTTGACACATTATGCAGCATGTGGCATCAAAGTACCAGCGACATTTCCCAAAACACCTCATACGACAGCAGCTTCTTGCTTGTACACGAAACGCCTGAAAATAGTGCATTTTAACAAACACCACACTGCAACACCTTTGCAGGGTAGAGCTAGAAAAATGCATTTTCTAAAATCAGACACGAATCTGAGACTGTATTCCATAAAATTCCCAGCACGGTGTTACATGGCTCTTTTTACTGCATTTGTTCCCAGTGTACATCAGAATCCTCAGCTTCTCCCAATAATTGACAGCTTATAGCAGCGTGTTTGATCAACCCTTCTTTTTAAGAAAATGACCAAAAGAGCACTTGCTGCCCTCACCCATATGATTTTAAACACCTTTGAAAATAGATCGGATTAAAACAAGCAGAATAAATCATATTTCTCTTCATTCTATTCTGAATTTAACAGTCTGAGTCTGGTTCTGCAAGATATTTCTGCCTGTTAAATGAGAGTTGTTTTTTTTCTTTCCACAGGTACCTTGTGCACGTTTAGGATGGGTAAATGGATTGAAAGGACTATTCAGTGCAATCCATTGGTTTCCTTAAGAAGTAAAAGGGAGCTCTGTATGAACAGAACTACTTTGAAACTGGAATTGAACTGGATTCCAATTGGCTTAAAACTGGATTGTATCATTGAAGTGCCGCAAGATGACATTTGTTGTAATTTGGTGATATATGTATATATAAAATAGGAATGAACCTAATGTACTATATAATTAAGGCAGTGATTACTCAATGTGGACTTTCAGTTGTGTCAATAAAAAAAAAAAAAAAAAAAGAAAAAAAAAGGAAGACAAGGAGAACCCCCCTACAAAAAAAATGTTTGTGTGAGATATTTCATTCAGTCAAAGGAGCAAGCTGTGTTTGGCCCTTAGCTTCTGTTAAGAGCCAGATGTTAGCAGCTGTCACTGTATAAAGACTTGAATTTAAAGAATAGCCAACATTAGCCTGAAGAGTAACCAGCTAAAAAGAAGGTGAACCTTTGTCCACGATCTAAACATCAAAGAAAGAGAGGCCATTACAGTTCCAAGTCTAAACACGTTGGTAGCGGCAGCCTACCTTCCCATCAAGAATGGTTTCCCACGTGGCTCGCTTCTTGCTAACAGGGCTGTCCTCCATGCCTTGCATGGACACCTCATACTCCCCATCCAGCAGTTGCAGCCTCCTTTAAAACAAACAAAAACAATGCATTCATTTGAGGATTATGGTAAAAATCAACAGGGGAAAAAAATAAAAATAAAATAAAGATTAAAAACACTAAGCTTACCTGTTCTTATCAAAGACAGTCATCTGTGCGATAAAGGTCTCTGTGGTTTCGCCCTCGTCCCTATGGGATGAACTTCTTTTCTTTCTATTGGAAGTGTCTGTTACATCTTAACAGAAAAATTTACAAAAAAAATATATAGCATGAGAAATTTTATGTCTGACAACAATCACATCCAGTATCAAGAATTGCCTTTGACCATTTAAAGTGGGCGTACCGATGTTCTCGTTGGCCTCTCCGTTAATCAGCCCATTGGTATCCCTCCTTCCTGTGCGGGACACCCTGAAGAGGAGTGAGTAGGACTTCACCATGTGGCTGTTGCTGGGCTCAAACTCATTGCTCGGGATGAGTAAAGACGGGTAGGAGCCAGGCTTGTTTTGGTTGCTGTCAGGGTTTAAAGGCACCTGTTTTTTACCCGTAGGCACTTGCTTTATGGGGCAACTGACATCCTGGGGAAAGAGTTTACCATTACAACAGTGGCAATTCAGAGCAAAAGAGGATTGCTGCTAAAGCGAGTGGCCAGCTTAATGAGATTGGACTTTACCTTGCGTTTTTTATGGCAGACTTTGACAAGTAGCACCTCTAATGACACAGAATTTTGTTCATTTTCTGAATTCTGAGATGGCTTTTCTGAGAGGCAAAAGGAAGAGTTTGGTCAACCATTCTGTCAGTTTTAAACAATATATAAACACAACCCTGACAAAAAAGGGGGAGCTTCTATCATTAATTTAACTTGAACATTTTTCTTCAAATAAATAAAAAACAAGAAAAGTTGACATCTGCTTACCATCCTTATGGAAGAACCCAGTGAATGTTAACTGTAGGTGTGAAGACAAGCTAGAGTGTGGAAAAAAGAGAAAGAAAAAAAAAGGACACCGATGAATGTAATCAAAGTTTGAATACAATTTGGAGTCAATTGCAGAACAAATTATTTTAAATTGCGTCAGAATGGATTTTTAATCGTTAAAATGTATCCAAAACATCTTAAAAATCCAGATCAATATCTGAAACCGTCAATACTCAAATTGAATTTATAAACAAAAAAAAATATGATAGATAAATCCAACTTGGAATAGTAGCATTAATATAAATGTCCCAAGCGGTATTCAGTAAATAATGTGATAGCATTAACATTAGTATATGTTACGTTAGTTTTAGCTTAACTTTACTGGCATAATAAACACCAACAAATTCAAACTAAAACGAAAATCCTGCTTTCTAACAAACTGGCAAATGACCGGCACTCATTTAAAGTAAGTTTGGCTTCAAATCAAGTGATTTAAGCCCTGAACGTGCAAGGCTTTTAGGTCTCACAGAGGTTTCTTACCTTAAAGAATCCTGCTCTCCTTTAATTTTTTCCACTGTCTGCAACATGTCATCCACTTTGAATGTTTTCCTAGCAGAAAATGAGGAATTCAATGATAGAAAATAAGAGTATGGTACAAATAATTGTTTAAAACTTGGTTCGAGCAACAAAATTCATGTTTTTACACAACTGAAAATAACATACCGTCTTGCATTTGTTCGACTATTTCTGTGAGACATGAAGGTAAGGGTTCTGTGCAAAAATATGGGCTGAAAAAGAAGGGGGTGGGGATGGGGGGTTAACATGTCAATCATTTTAAGTTAGCAGTTGAAAGCACTTAAGTAATTACAACATTTGGAAAAATGATTTAAGAAGTTCACTTACTGCAATCAAATTCCTTGTGCGGAGGAATCTGTATATCTGAGTTGGTTCTAGGAACAGATAAAAAGTTAGTCAGGCACAGCTCCTGTGTAATAACTCAGTTATTTTAATTACAAATAAGCAAAATTTCCCAATTTATAATTGAGTAATAATAAACTTGAGTAAGAATGTAAGTGTCCTGTTTGATTATGCACTCGACCATGCTTATGCCTTTCAGTTTTCATGTCTGAGAAATACATGCATAAACAGCCAACAGCCTTGTGCTGGCAAGTGAATGTCGACTTGGCAGGGCATCCTATAACCGTGATTAATATGGACAAAAAGTATGGGTGTTAACCGTGCTGTTTGTACATATGATTAAACTTATGAATTATACCGATAAGTGGGTCTATTTCACCAAAGGTTATTTAATCAAACTGAAATTTCGTGCCACTTTCTTGGAAATAGGTAAAGTAAGTAGAGGCATGTCAGAAATGGGTTACAGACCAAAGAGCGGTGAAATCTTACTTTCAAAGGCCTGTAGGAAGAGCTCATGGTCGGCCTGAATCTGCTCCATCTTCGGCTTCTTCACGGCGCTCATCATTGCGGCTGGGGCGGTGTATACAGCACCGTTAGCTTTGCAGCTCGCCCCACTCATAATATGACCTGAGTTCTGCGAGTAAGAACAGCAATTTATTGAAATATTACATAAAACAAAAACAAATGGTCCCAGTACAAGTTAGCTTAGCAATTAGGGTTGATAGTTGCATTAGCAGTTCTGCTAACTAGCTCTGGTAAATGCAGTGCTAACGTGCTTGCTATACCTGTGATTTCAACATGAAATATAAATCCTAAAGTAAAAAAGTCTAAATAAGATATATATAAAATACTGCTTGGAATAATAAGAAACCCACCCTTGCTGATGGCATTAATTTTTTTAGCTTCGCAGCATCTAGCACAAGCCTGGCACACTCAACAGCAAAAATCCATGAAGAGGAGGCGACGAGACGGATGCTAGTTAGCTAGCACTGCTAGCATAGTTTACTTAAAAACAAACCTCCCTGCCAACAAAGTTCTCCTACAGTCACCTACCACAATTACTACTTAGTATCGCGAGGACTATTAAAATCTTTAAAAAATTATTGATCATATATATTTGATTTAATGCCGATAACGTCCCCTCTATTTGTACTGAACAACAGAGCACCAGTCAGTTGTCAGCCAATAGCAAACGAACCGAGATAATTCAGCGGTGTGATTGGCTGCTAATCTCCGGATGTGACATATAAGCGCTCTTGCTTCCCACGATTTTGCGGGAAATCCAGTTGATCAGGCTTCTGAAAAACAAGAACTTGATGCCAAAACTTCCCCACTCACGCATAAATCTGTTTGACCAGAACCCATCTATAATTTTCATTAAATCCAATAAATTACGTATATACCTCGATAGCGTGCAGTTGTGAAAAAATAAATTGAACGATTTAGGAAATCAAATAAATACAGGGACGTGCGAGACATTTAGTCATCTTGAGATGATATATATATATATATAGAGATAGATAAACGCATGAAGGCAGATTACAAAATCAACGCAAAAAACTAAAGTAGTAACAACATAATACGATATACATACTATTATGTACCATATACAAGTGTACCGCAATGTATCACATCACCGTACACTTTTGTTTTATATCACTGCATTTATTTACATTATTTAGAGTAAATTACCTTATGTTACAAACATTAAAACATTAAATTCTAATAGTATTGAAGTGAATTAGAAAGTAACCAATGTAAACATCCATCCATCCATCCATTATCAATGCCGCTTATTCCCTCATGGGGTCGCGGGGGGAACTGGAGCCTATCCCAGTGGTCAACGGGCGAGAGGCAGGGTACACCCTGGACAGTCCGCCAGTCCATCGCAGGGCCACACACAGGACATACAACCACTCACACTCACATTCACTCCTAAGGGCAATTTCCCCAATCTCCAATCAGCCTAACATGCAGGTTTTTGGACTGTGGGAGGAAGCCGGAGAACCCGGAGAGAACCCACGCAGACACAGGGAGAACATGCAAACTCCACCCAGAAGGGCCCTGGTTCCCCCGGGATTCGAACCCAGAACCCTCTTGCTGGGAGGCGACAGTGCTAACCACCACACCACCGTGCCGCCCAATGTAAACATGCTTGAGTTAAATTTGATTGAATATAGTATATTCATTGAAAGCTTTTACAATATTTAAGAAACGCTATGTAAACCAAAATTAGCATATACATTAAACCTAACATTTGCGGATTTTAAAGTAACTACAAGAATAATTTATTTCTTTCCCGTAAACGCATGACGGTTGTTTAAATCTTACATTGGAAATTCGTTTAATCGGAGTAATTTCTATTAACATTTTAAATTCAACTTAATAAATATGTCCCGTTTTTTTATTTTATTCAAATTTTATTCATTATTTTAAAATGGTTATACAGTATATATACAAATTGCAAAACTACAGACACCATAAACGGCACCTATACAGTATTTTCCCCCTGTTTCCGGGGGGCCTATTTACGGACGCAACCGGAACATTCGTGACCATACCTTCTACACATGTGTACAGTAAGAATCCAGTGCAGTTTGCTCTGATCTTATTGGGATTAAGTGTAAACCTATTTAAATAAGAAATTAAATAGCACAAACTAACAGTCCTGAGACTCTTGTGACGGCTTTGCCAACAATATGGCGGAGATCGTTCAGCAGCGGATTGAGGACAGGATCCCTGAGTTGGAGCAGCTGGAAAGAGTGGGGCTGTTTACCAAGAAAGAAGTCAAGTAAGAAAGGTTTCAATACTCAGAGACAGAGAGGAAAGAGCACTGGGATTTCTATTTTTCTAAAGAAAATTAATCAAAAGCTGCAAAAAATCAAACCATTACCATCAAACCTTCTATATTTTCATTCTTGTACGTATTTGAGTTGATGGATTTTGTTGAATACCGTAATTCTTGTCCACAAGCCAAGTATTATTCCATCTATCAAGTTTTGTGATATCTGCTCTGAAAGGAACGACTTCTTCTGTCACACAGCTCCTTTTTCTCAATTATTTCTCGAGACTGTGTTTGAGTGTATCTCCCATGCCTTTCACTCTCTTCCTGGGGGTGTGTTTTGGCAAATTCTGTTGGTCCAAAACTGAATTAAAATGTTTCTTTTTTTGTTTTTAACATATTTAGATCCTTAATCAAGAGGGCAACAGCTTTGGAGTACAAGCTCCACAGGTTGATAGTAAACAAGGACGACTTTATTGCATACATTCAGGTAGAGGATCACTGCCACACAATGTGATCAGTTGTCAAAGCAACATAAGTAATTACAATGTTCAATGTTGAAAGCTCCTCCTGCAGTGTGTTGATTTGTTTCTTTATTACAGTATGAAATCAACGTCTTGGAACTGATTAAGAAGAGAAGAGCTGTAAGTGTCCTATTACAGATCATAGTAACGAGTAACTACTGTTGTAAAGACATATTGAACTATATAAAATTTAAGTGGTTGTTTTGATGGTGCTGCACTAAGCAACAAGCATATTAAAGACATAGCAAAGCTGAACACAGCTTGGTTTTTTTTGTAATGTATGTAACGTGATTTAAACATGTCATTTTCAGCACATACATTACCAGTTCAAAAGAGAGGAGATAGAGTTTCCCATCATACACAGAATAAATGGGATCTTCAGAAGAGCTACGAAGAAGTGGAAGGTACTTAATATGTTTTTATTAGAAGTGTATTTTTTGGTTGCAATCCAGTTTATGTATTCCACACTTGCAGGTCTGACAGCCTGTGTTCTTCCTTCATCTGAGAGAAGTTATTTTCAACACCCTGGTTTTTTCTTCTCTCTGAAAGCCATCTCTTTTCTAATTGGCTGTGTTCCTAAGGCCTGCTAAGAGTATAAATACACTTGGTGATTGTAAGCAGCATTGCCCATTTTTATGGGCTTGTTGTTCTTTGAAAAGATGGCTATTAGAAAAATAAATGGAATATATGATAAAAAATCTTGGAATCAGCTGGGATCTGATCTTTATGTCAAAGTAAATACATTCACACATTTAACTCACTAGCGCCTCTAAAGGAAACAAAACTTTAGCCAGTTTTACTTTGAACATGCAACAATTACAGATTACAGAGTGAAAGTGTGAATTATTCTCTAAACATAAACACAATTTCATTTTGGCTTTCTACAGTAGAAAGCAGAGCAGGTAATGTCTGCAATGAAAAAAAAAAACATGGAATATAGTAAAAAAAATTCACAGAATGAAACTGGCCCAATGTCATTTTGATTTACAGGATGATGTGCAGCTGTGGCTCTCACATATTGCCTTCTGCAAGAAATGGGTATGTAAACATTTACACTTTCACTTCAAGTTTAGACTAATCAGACTTTCTGCCTGCTTTTTCTATAAAAAGTATTGTGTTTGGTTTCTCTCTTTAGGCCACTAAAGGCCAGATCAGCAAGGTGTTCTCGACTATGCTTGCCATCCACCCTGACAAGCCAGGTATGGGGTGATGGAGGCAAATGTGGGCAGAATCCCACCTATATGTGAATGTGCTTTTAAATAAAAGAAACGGAAACCTCTTCCTTCAGCCCTTTGGATCATGGCTGCTAAGAGTGAGCTGGAGGATCGAGATTCTTCTGAAAGCGCCAGACACCTGTTCCTGCGAGCTCTGCGTTTTCACCCAAACAACAAGAAAGTCTACCAGGAGGTAAAATTCTCAGAAAATGCTCTTGTGATACAAAAAAAAAAGTTCCCTACTCAGATTCAGGAGGCATGGTTGAAAGTGATGCCAATTTACTAAACCCTTCCCCTATAAATCAATTCCTGTGTCAGTACTTTCGTATGGAATTGCTGCACTGTGAGAAGTTGAGGAAGCAAAAGGAACAGCTGGAGAAGGCCGAAATGGACCTGGTGAGCGTGAAACGCACTGCTTTTGAAGTGCAGCAAGCCAACACACACGTGCAGTAAATGTAACATGTGCCTTATTTTTTTACACCTTCCAGGGTGAATACGAGTTTTCTCCAGAGATACTGAGTGGCAGACTGGCTGAGGTTGTCTACAAAGATGCTACGGGAAAAATCAATGGTGAACTTTTAATCACAATACACTTGCAAAATGAAAAGATTAGATAACTCTAAATATTATGTTCTATTTGTTTACATAGTCTGACATTTTTTGTTAAAATAACAAAATGAATCTGTATATTAAGTTGCTATTTGGACCAAAGTGCAAGATTTATACTTGATGCATTAAAAAAAAAAAACTTTATAACATCTCTATAACGGTCAGCCTAAATCTGTCAAAAATCCATCGCTTGTAGTCAGGTCTAAATTGAAAAGTCCAAAAGTCTTTTAGCTCGAATGAAAAAGACTACATTAACACCCCCATGTTTCCTTTTAAAATGTCTATGGAAAGGCTCCATGTTATTCATCGAAGCTTTTGAAAATGCATTATTTGCTTTGACATAACCCAAACCAGACAAATAGTATTAAATAGTATTACATTTACTCCCACTCTTCTCCAGTTCAATTCACTGCTAAAACTCCTCTTTTTGTCTATGTATCATATTTTTTCATTGTTATTATTTTTTAATTGTTTTTTATCTTTTAATGGTCAACTGCATTTGTTTTTAAGTTAGCTATATAAATAAAACTGTGTTAACTTTACCTGTAATTAATCTGGGAAATCGCTCTACCTGTCCCCATCAACCTTCCTGCTCCACAGAGGCAGAGTTTGTCATCTCACTTCTAAACATAGCAGCTATCTTTGACTTCACGAAAGAACTCCAAGACTCCATCCTGCAAGAGTAAGGCGCAAAATTATTTAAAAAGACGACCTCACATATGAGCATTCAAATCAAACCTTACTTTATTTTTGAGCTTTCCAATCTTCCACCTCTTTGTTTCCAGCTTACAGGAAAACTACACCGAGGATAGCTTGACGTGGAATTTCATGGCTAAGAGGCAGCTGGAGGCTCCGGGGGTAGGGGAGGAGCTCCAAACAGCCAAAGGGCGGGCCTCAGATATCAACCGCAGAGAGGAACGCTGCTGCCAGGTCTACGAGGAGGGTCTCAAGAGCATGAACACCGGTGAGAGCTCCAGACAATACGGGCATGTTGTCGACATTCCCCTTTTTTTTTTTAAATCAGTCCTTAAGGTTCAAATTTGCTGTTGAATGGTTCACAATGGATTTTAGATGGCTGTTCATGTGGCTGTGCTTTGTCTTTTAGAGCCAATGTGGAGTTGCTATGTGGCCTTCTGCTTGGAAAGACAAAAGAGAAAGACCAATGTCCAAGAGCTGAAGGAAAAAGTGTGTAAATGTGACAAATGAACATTTTCCTCTATCGTATACAGTCTCAAAGGGTTTTAGTTCAAGAGGAAATCCTCACATGTTTAATGTGTTTGTGTTTCAGAGGCAGGAAAGGCTGCTTGGAGTACTAAAACGTGCCCATGATGCCTCACTACTGAAAGAGGAATATTACAAGAACTGGGTGAGATCTCTGTTCAATATGTAAAGGCTTAACAGCATTTAGATCCTGGTGCATACACTGACACTTGCATGTACAACGGAGTTGTAGTTTATTAATAATTATGTTCACCGAAAGGATTCCGGACAGAAAACTTAAGCTACCTAAAGAAGGAGATATTACAGATAGGTCTGTCGATGAGTGCAGACAGTCAAAACTTTCTAACTTATAAGCAGATATTCTAATGGTCCTGGCACACATCCGTTAAAGGACATACACTGTATTATTTATTTGTATAGGCACAAATTTGTTAAGAGGAGAGCTCTTCGTAGCTCTTGTTAAGACATGCTAAGGCGAGTTGAAGCCCCATGAAAACACTTTTCATGTTCATTCATAGTCCGTCCTTGTGTCCCATATAGGCCTTGGCTTCACCCTTGCTTGACTACTGCTTTATTTATTTTTTTAGCAGCTAATGTGATGAACTGTTGCGGTAGTGGATGTTTGTTTGTTTGTTTGTTTGTTTGTTTGTTTGTTTGTTTTTATTCAACTTTGTTAGAATGATGCATCATTCTGCATTATTATTTTAGATCAAGATTTGGGTAGTGATACCAAATCTTTATCGGGTGGAAATCCCGAATACTCAATGAGTGTGATACTTTCATCCCTGAACAGCTCAACAAAGTTTTGAGCTGGTAATGTTTCAAAATACTAGCCTTTTGCACGTAGGGTCTCTGTATACTGGGTTCTGTCACCTATGTGTTTGTCTTTGTGTATTTCGATAGTTTGATCTGTTTTTATTCTGTAAAGCACTTTGGTCAGCTCCGGTTGTTGTAAAGTGCTGTATAAATAAATGTTGATTAATTGATTGATTGATTAACAGCCAGTATGGCACAAAGTAATGTGATGTTCTCCGTGTGCCCAGGTGCAGCTCCTGCTCTCATCGGGTGACGCCGGGGAAGCAGTAAGCGTTGCCACGGCAGCCACGCAGCGATACAGCCATTCGGTGTCAGTGTGGTGCCTGTGTCTGCAAACGTTAATGCAGGAGGGGGCTGGAGACATCAGCAGGCATTTCCAGGACTCCCTCACACATGTTAATCCCAAGGTACCACACTAACACACACTCTTTGACCTCAATCAATTCGTCTTCACTCCTTTGTCACCTCCAGTTTGATAGCTATCTCTGCCTACACTGAGCACACACATGTGGTGTCACAGTACCGAATCTAATCGTCATCCCCTGGACAACAGACACACATGGAAGGACACACAAATTCACAAAGCCCACTGGTATTTCTGTACTAAGTGGGCCATCTCCTTGGCCCAGTTAGTCTCTATTCCATGTCAGAAATGTTCTCTGCTTTTGATAAAAACATGTTGGGAAATAACTTTAGCAGTCAAGTACAAAACCTAATCAGCAAATAAAAAAACAACAACTCGCGTATTAATACACACAGTAAGTGCTTGTTACATTGGTGTTTCACAACACTGGGTTTCCTCAGAAGTCGCTGTGTAATAAGGATTACTGCCACCACTACCCATTATGCAAGTCTTTCTCTTTAAATTGAAAGAAAGGGAACACACCTCCAAATGTGTGGCTGGTATTTGGCAAGATATAATGTTTCTCGGTGGGGTAAAAAGGTCTTAATCCTGCTTAATGTCATGCAATTTAAAAAGAAACCTAAGAGGGGTTGGGCGGGTGGGGGGGGTTGAGCATACAGCAGAGAAATGTTATATGTCTCACAGAGGCCAGCTAAGATTGCCAAGTGATTAGTCCTAATCGGACAACCCAGTGACTAATTTTAAAAGTGTGGGTCTGATAGCATGCCACAACAACATTCTCCCAATGATTGCAATCTGAATGACACTGAAATAGACCAAACATTTTCAAAATCCAACCACTGAAAGCCATGGGGGAGAATAAGGAGCAAGAGACAATGCTATATTAATATCCTACCTAGCTTGGCAAATGTCACTGTCAATGCAGAATTCTTGTTAAAGCTAAATGGGCACATTTGAATGCTGAGGTTTGTACAAAGTTGCATAATAATACATAATAATAAAAATACGACAGAAATATTCACAAAATGAGTTTATGCAAAAAAACAAACAAACAGAAACCAACCATTCTAAAATCTGCTGTAGCTCAGGCTGACCTCACACCTGGTCAGCACGGGCTTAAGGTGGGCACAGGCCATTCATGCCATGGTTAGGCCATGTACATTTTCCTTCAGCTGAACTCTTTGCAACACTGATATCATTGTGTTTTGAAGCCTAAGCTGGAATCTGACAACAGCTCATCTAAGGACGGTGCAGTGGCTCAAGCTCATTTCCACAAAACACTTTGGAATAATTATATTTAGAAAATACAAACAGTAAATAATGAAGATCATAAGAATTTACGTAGAGAAACTGACTCCATGAATGATCACAATGAATAATGAACATACATTTCAATCTATATGATGTAAGTATATGAAGACTGTTGATATACTGAATTCATAACTACACGGAGTATGTCAACTTCTTTTTCTGTCTTCACAGGAGAGTCTGTGTCTGTGGCAGATGCAGCTTCAGTGGAGCATGGCTAATGAGAGTCCGGAGGATACAGAGGCCATTTTCAAAGTAACTAACCTGACATCTACAGTTAGTCCAATACACAGAGGATGGTTTTGGTGTTGAAATGAATGTTGTAGATACTCATCAACACTGGCCAAGATCCTGAGAAAGAAATTGGTAGACTTTTTCCACTAGTATGTAATCGTTTATTCATCAGCTTGACTCAACTACTCGGTTTAGGGAAAAAGTCCCGTGGTGTCGTTTGTAAGTGACACAACAGAGGACATAGAGGCGTCTTTTTTTATCCACTTACCTCACAGATGATCACAAAAATACTTAAAACACATTTTTACTTTTGTTGCATTTTTTAAATTTCTCTGAACTCCCTAGCTAATAAATGGCCTGTGGTCTGTGGAATCATCATAGCTCGCTCCAAACCCCAGCCAATAAGGTGCTAGAATCTAACTGGTACCAGGTTCTACTACCTAATGGAAAACCAAACAAATCTGAGTTGAGGGCATAACCAGACCGAGGCAAAATTCAACTAAGAAACTGCTTAGGACCCTATGACCACTTAGTCATGAAAATACATGGCATATTATGCATATTTTAGTGACAAATACTATCATCAAAGTTATTTGATCAGAGAAAAACAAAAATCTGGAAGTCTTTCATTTACGCTATTACAAATTAGAAAGTTACTGTGTTAATTTACTGTTGGTGTGTTAATGTTCACTTATCATTATTGGTGAAAATAGAGGGTCCCAAAATTAGATTCTGCTCCGGGCCCCATGGAGTGGAAAAACATAATTTTGGTGGAGTCTCATCTTCAGCAAGTGAATTGGTCCATAAATTATTCCATATAGCAACAGTTTTCAATTCCAGAGCGTTGAATTAGTCTGAAAGTACCTCAACATGACATTCTTTTTCTTTGTTGTATTTTATTACAAAGTGTTTTATTAGGCTACTAAAATGAGACATTTTGGCATGAAAAAACATTGATAATTAATGTTTGGAAAAAGGATGGAGATACAGGCCTCATTCATATTTTCAAACAGACAATAAACAAAAACGGTGTGAATCAGCCTCCAGAGGTAGAATGCATTTCACACTTTTTTTACTTGGTCTCAGAGAGGCCTTCTGTCTGATGTGGCAACTGTCGCCATGGAGATGAAAGAGAGCTACCTTGATTGGTCCTACTCAACTGGAGGCTATAAAAAAGCAAGGAAGACATTTACAAGGTAACTGCGTATTAAGTTTTACTCTTGTAATGAATGATCATAACAAAAAACAGATTAAAATAAACACTGGCATGTACAAAACATTTTCATACATTTTTTTGTGATTTTCATTTTGATTTGTGTTCTTTCTTTTCTGTAGCTTACAAGAAAATCGGCCCCTGCCCAAGACCTTTTTCACCAAAATGATTCAAATCGAGAAGAATCAAGTATGTTCAACTCCAGCAAAGAAAGCTATAAATCCAGAAGAATTGTCTTTGTTCACTTTGAGGCACAAAAACTCACAATATCTCAGTTCTTTGAGCTGCCCTTGATTATTAGCTGCAGATTTTATTGAACTAACTGAGATAAGACTGATTTAATTTTCTCTGCCAAAGAAGATATGGGGAAAGGTTGTTTCTTTTACAAGTTAATCTATAAAGCAATTCTTAACATGAGAACCATGTATTTTCTTCTAGGAGACTCCCAAGATGAACAATCTGAGAGACTATTATGAGAGGGCGCTGCAGGAGTTTGGCACGTTTGACGATGGTGAGTCGAGCTTTGAATGCTCTTCAGGAGTCATAGGGTCAAAATGGTGTTACACTTTTTGATAGTTTCATGTCACACAGTTAAGGAGTACAAAAGTTCCTTTATTTAAATTTTGATAAATACATTCTCGGAATCTCAGTTGATTTTAAAATCCCATTAGCCACATTTACAGCAACATGTTAGTTCACATTTGTCATCAGCTGCCTTTTATCTGTCGCCTCATAAAATTAATTTTATGTTGTTTATTAATCTATAATATTAATTTGTATGCAGTCAAATTGAGCTCATTGAGATCTTTCACAGTTTCTCTCTAGTTTTGCACCTGTAACATGAAATGAGACACTTTTTTGGGGGGGGTATATTACTGGCAGGTGAGTTTGCAAAATGTAAATATTCTTTGGTTCCTAAAAATATATCTTTCAAAGGGCTTTGTTTAGCATTTCAATATGTTCTTACATTGCTGCCTCTGCTCTGAATACATACGTTTTTTGTTAAAACCTCTCTATACTAATCGCACTTGCACTGTGTATTATTTGGCATTAAAACTAATATTTTTGCACGCAACATGAAAAGGAAAAAACAAAACGGCGGCCTCCCAGACCAGACCTCACATTTGACCTGGTTACATTAGTTTTACCTGTAACTAAAACAATATGCCACTTAACTAATAATGGCAGTTAACAATAGTGCCATCTTAATCTGCACTAATTACAAGCTAAAGCTAAAAGCCAGTAGCAGAGACCCAGTTTTGAACTTTTCCACATGCCTGCTCTTTTTTTCAGTTCTGTGTCGATATATATCAGCTGGGGACCCACAAATAGCTCAGTTAAGCTTGTCTGTTCGTATCTATTTGATCACAGGCAGTCATTCAAAACTATTTGTCCCAATGAACGTGATCTCAGTGACGTTAAATGTCCACCATGACTGGCTGCCATCTGAACCCTCAGGTGGATTAGTCCCTCAATCTGGAATATCTTTCATGAACGCAAGTTTGGATCCACTTTCTTTATGCAACTTTTCCATTGACTTTTAATGCAGTTTGCTAGCTAAACAGTTTGCTAAGTGTTGGATCCACGTCCAAACTAAAAAAAAAACTTTGAAGGAAATGGAACCTGATTTTGCCAAAATGCTCTCTGTTTCCCGCAGATCTGTGGTTGCAGTATATCCAGGACGAGGTTGGGCCACTCGGCCAGCCAGAGAACTGCGGAAAAATCCACTGGAGAGCAATGAAGTTTTTGGAAGGGGAGAGTGTGGAGAGATACACCGCCAAATATACTCTACTACAGACTGGACACTTGTGAGGGAGGTTCTGGTTATGGAGACAGCCACATTTGCAACAAACATGGGGCTTCTCCTGCTCATGAAGCTTGAGCTTTACTGTCAGGTTACAAATGGCCTGCTGGTTCCTCTTAATCATTCTGTGTTATATAGTTTAGTTTTGATTGAGCTGATTTTTGCCATGTTCTAACGACTATTAACTTTTGAGTCTAAACATCTACTGTGTTTCATAAGAATACCAATCTTCAAAATATTTACTTTATTGGGAAAGTCCAGTTTTATTGAATTCCACATTTGTCATTTTTTGGAATACAAGCTTTGATGCTGTTATAACATTAAAACAGTCTTTTGTCTGAGAATGTTTTCTGGGACAGTGGCATGACACAAATACGAAAATATAACAACGTTTATTTGCAGAAAAAAAGTCCTGAGCCACACCTCATTTCTTCAAAGGAGCCAAAATTTCTGCTAATCTTCAAAACTAATCTTCTTTTTTTATATCTTAAGTTCGGTAAGGCCTTGTACCCAACCATTTTGAGATGGAAACGTTAGTTTGTAAGTCATATATCACTAACTTATAAATCTCTTGAGCATTAACAAGGGATCTAACTCAATAAATGAGCCAGTGGTCTGTCTATATATGGGAGACAACTTGGCAAAGAACTCATTTTAAATGGTTTCTTTAGGCACTTTGTAACTAACAGTTGTTCACACATTTTGATACATTTCTTTAGCATATAGACTTTGTAAATACAAAGTGCAGCAGATAAACAAATGTCGACAAACTTGAAAGTGTTTTTTGCACCAACAATGTGATTCACAAAGAGAATTTAGATGTCCACATTCAATTTTTCTGCATGGCAAGTAGAAGAAAGAAAAAAGGAAAATTGGAATGTGAAAGAATTTATGGCCAACACCTGATACAGGACCTGAGAGATACATCATGATATTTTGTTAATTCAGCTGCTGTCCATTGATGCGTGGTGAGAAATATTCTCCATTGAAGGTTGGCTGTGAAGAAGCAAGTCTTCTGGTAGGTTAACACAGGGAAAATACACAAGTACCAGAGTTTTAGTGGAGTGTTGAATTCAAATTGGAATGGTTTTACTTAAAATGGTCTTTTTTATATGCATGTAAAAAAGTAAGAATAACAGAAACAGTAGAGGTTCAGTGATGGTGTGAACCTGAATTTAGCCAATGGAATGGTGGGGAATCCTGTGAAAATGAGTGGAAATATGAACACCAGACTTTGATCTACCATGCAATATTATGTGGAAAGCTTCTAATTGATAATGTCTCAATGTTTTAGCAGACCATGAATCCCCAAAAAACTCTTTAAACATTAGTTATTGTTTATAGAAAAAAAACAATGCATTGGCCCCCACAAAGAGCCCACTTAGCAATGTGGGATAATGATGATATACAAGGTGAATTAAAAGTTGCAAAAAAACAAGGTCTTTCAGAAACAACTGGAAAAATGACAGATCTTAATTACCCAGTAAGCAATGGCCTTTCTTAAAAACCTGTATTAGAATCTCTGGAGATATTAAATGATGGGATCCTGTGCCACCAGCTCTATTCAGCACCAGGGACAGCACATTGAACATGTGAAATAGCTGTGGATCGCGACAAGTGTGTGCAGTTGTTGCTACATACTGTGTTGATTACTTTTGAAACTCAAAATATTTAGTAAATCTGATTGCTGCAATAGATTTGTGAGACAAGTTTGGTCTTTGATATGTTACATGACCACCTTCCCATTGGAAAAGCTTGCCCTAGATTCAATATGGCGACTTTCAATATGGAAACTTTAAAAAAGGGCGGACCCCCTCATCCATAACTTGCTCAGTTGGTCAGATATGTAATTTCCCCTTTAGTTTCTGACATAAAATGGTGTCCTGTGACTTGGGACTCACCTTGGCATGTAAAACTATAAAAGAAATTAGTAGAAATCTTCACTAAGAGTGTTAGGGCTGAGATAAAGAATAAAAGTGCACATACAAGATTAAGAATTATTGACATTCAACGGGCAGAAGAATTGTGCAAGCTCCTTGTTTTCCTTAAACAAGTCATTTATATTTTGTTTGAATATCTTTGTAAAATATATAATACATTTTCCCTGTAATAAAGAAATGAGGAATGGCACAAGACTTTTTGCAAAGTACTGCAGTTCTCATTGGCCAACTTCCTTCAGCAGGTCTTTTGGCAGGTTAGCAACACTATGTAATTTGAACAAAAAAAAAACAAACAAAAGGGGATATTCCCAAAAACATACTTGATACTACATTATTAACCAGTGTTTGCCTACCATGTATTACCTCATTTAAATTGCAGGTTTTTATGGTACAAAATGTCATTATGGGACACAATCTATTAATACAAAGCAACAGTAGTACGCCTAAGAATTGCCTTCAGCCCCCAAGTATACATACAGTGTTTAAGGACACTTAAAATTAGTGCTTTAAAAAAATAGCAGTACAACTACATTGATGTAAGTAATGAGGTATAACAAAATGCTCATGGAGAAAATAGCAATGAATCAAAACTGTTGGCAATACACACATCCATCTATAAAATTGTATCACAAAAGGTTACCGGACATGTTTTTGCTCATCTGACATCCAAAAACAAATTAAAAAAAGGGAACAGTCATGGACAAAGTCTTATTGAATTAGTAGCGGGTCTCTTATAATTCAATTGAGCTGATGCTCATCTTGGCCAGTACACTTGCAAAAGGGCTTTAAGATCTTGTGAGTCTAATTCTCCAGTTAAGAAATTGTTAAATAGTGAAGAAAAAAAGATCAAAAGAGACCCTTTTGCACAATTTTGGGGTGAAAGGTTGAAATGATTTAAGGGACATCGTTGTTTTAAATACCTTCACCTTTTCAAATGACACCATCGTTAACACCACATTAGGAATATCAAGTATTTTTTTCATATCTCATTTGGGCTTTAAGAGATAACGAAACCAAACAAAAAAAAGTTAATTTAAGGCAGACAAATATAAATTTCAATAGCGATCCCTTTTAAAAAAAATAGTCATGCTGACGTTTTCTCTGTAAATAATTACTGACTATATATATATTGCAATGGTTTTGTATGAAATCAACAGATTATTTTGTTCTCTAAAATTCTAAAAGCAACTAATTGCCTGAAGTCATATCCTGCAGAAAACTAACCTGAGAAAATGTTAAATTTGTTCAGATATCTTTTTGCTCAACACTCTGAAAAACTAGAACTGGGACTGTAATTCCCAAACAGCTAATGGCTGCTAAAGTACACTTCAAAGTTTATTTTAGGGGTTTTCAACTTTTAGGAATATATCTGACTTTGCCTTTAGAATTACATATGAATTCCAGTTCTAAAATGAAAATGTTTTCATATTGGGACATTAATTATGCCTTCTTATGAATGTTAACTCATTGTGCAGAGCTAAGAGAAATATTCGAGACTTTGAAGTTCCACACCATGAACAGATCATAAGTGTTTCCAAGATATTTAGGAAAAGGTAGTGTAATAACTAGATGATAATTGAAAAAAAAAAACTTCATAGTTTGATCGTGATTTTAGAAATCCTATTGCTTCTCACAACTTTGCTGGAAAATATGGAAGGTGCCCACTTTTCCTATTGGTCATTGTGGAAGCAGACCACCAATCACAGCTCTTAAGAGCTTTAAAGATGTATTTAATATGTGACCCCCCCCCCCTCCCCCCCGTTCCTTTTTACCACAAAGAATTCTGAACACCTCCACCTGAGCCTTCCGGTTCAAAAATGTCATCAGAGCTTCTTGAAGAGGATGTAGGTGAACAGCGCCAGCACACCAGCAGACAAAAGCCCGATCACGCACTGGTGGATGGTTATGACGTTCTCCAGGGCGTGGATGCGCTCCTCCATAGCGTTGGTGTTGATGTAATCATAGATGGAGGCCCCGATGCTCCACACCGCCCACACAGCGTCCACAACTGCTTTCATGGTGGGGGAGACCATTGAGAGTGCTGCCTGCAGCCGGTGGGCTGCTGTGTCCGCTGCTTATTGGCCCCCCCGCACTACAGGGAGAAGAGGGTGACACGCAGTGCATAGAAAGGGGAGCAATGTGTGGGCAGAGGAAAGGCACCGCTGATTCAGAATCATTATTATTCTTTCTGCGACTGCACATTTTAAAACCAGAACTCTTATCACTCATGCCATTTTCTTTCTTTCTTATGTTCTCTGTAAAAGATTCCTGTGAGACAAACTGACAAGTCTTTCAAGAGAATATCCAGCATCACGAAGAGCTTTAATTTGGACTCTCCCCCCCTATTTTAATCGTGTTTATTGATTGTTTTTTTGGCTGCATATAAAAACTGTGAAAATCAAAGATTCATCAAAACATTCAAAGTTTCCTTGTAACTGTTGTATATCACGTTTCTAATGTAAAATATAACACATTTCTATAAATGAAAGAGATCATAACTTTATATCATAACTTTTAATCATCAGTGTTATTTAATGTGCTTTGCTTTCTAAGAAATGCTTTTCTTAAATAGATTTATTACTGATGTAACGTAATTTCCTCAACTCATCATACACAGCTATCTCATGTATTTGTTCTATCCTTACCAAAGTAACCTGGGGGAACAGAATATTTCAGAGTGAGAAGACAAATCTCAAATAATCTGTTCCCTCAAGTTTGCAAAAGAAAGGGGAAACTTTTTGAAATTCACAGAAGTCATTGTTTACGAGAAATGGAAGAAATTGCCCAAAAAATGAGGGGATTGGTTACTCTTTTCAAGATACAGTGGGGAACAAATTATTTTAGAGAGACAGTGAGGCTAAAATAATCTGCTCTGCAAATTCTCTATAATTCATTGGAGGAATTATACATAAAGAGTGGAAGAAATTACCCAAAATATGAAGTTATTGGTTACTCTCTATTCAAGATAAAGGGAGTTCTGAACTGCATTAGATTTAAAAAATGTTATGTAGACCCCGAAAATTTCCATACAACATTTTGCCAACAGTATTCATGAAGCTGCAAAACTGTTTTTATCGCGTTTTCTTGTTTTCCTTTCAAAAAAGGCTCTTCTCAATTCCCTCACTGATGAAAACTAACTCCCCTCACGCACACTGACGTCATTCCGTTGTTTAATAAAACTTGATCCACTTCATCAAGGACTGGACTCTCATGACCTGACGTTTGGACCTATGGGATTAAAGTCCTTTCGAAATAACTGATTTTAACCTCAAAGTGACGAAGGAAACTGACTTTGAAGGGGAAAACTGGAAGAAGTCGGGAACTAATACAGGCATGAAACTGTTCCGGCTGTTAACGGGGATGACGAAGAGGTTTATGAATGGAGCCAAGACTCACCGACAGGTGTCAGACGTTAACGTGCCGAGGCGGATGACGGTGAACATCCGTCCTGTTGATGCCCAATTAATGAATTTGCTTGAAGATGAGATCCCGGGCTATTCTTGTCGGGAACAGGCAAGGAGTCGGGCATTGCTGCTTAACGTGAAGCTGGAATTCACGTAGCTCGTGGCTTCCGGTTAAACCCTTCACAAATAAACCAGCTTCTCCTGCGGTCTTTGAAGGCAGATCTCGGTAAAACGAGGGGAAAACGTGGACGCAAGGAGACACAAGATTCCAGAACGCATCTCATATTCTGACTATTTTTTAATTTCTTTTTTTAAATGCACCCAGACTGCGGTCCAGCTTTTATTGAGAAGAATTCGCTCTCATCTCAGGCTGTGCTATTGGTCCTCGGTGAAGCAGCTGACCGAAACCCATGTGAGTGTCAAACAGCGGCTCTAAAAGTGGGGTATGACGAAATATCCACAAAACAAGAACAAGTGGGTTAGTAAAAAAAATCGAACCAAAAAAAAAAGAAGAAAAGCAAAGAAAACTGCATTCTAAACACAATAGACGAAAACAAAAAATACAATAAACATACAATGGTGGAATAAATGGTGGAATAAAAACATATAGTATCTACACACACACATACATATATATATATAAAGACGTTTAAACTGAACTCATGGATCAAATTAGGCTGACAGGATCCAGCTGTCATGCTGTAATTGCCACCTGATGCGCAGCAACCACGTGATCAGTTGAACCGAATAGAGCAGTAAGTGGCGGACGTAAGTGTCATGGCGCGTCGCTGTCGCCAGAGGTCGCGGTACACCAGCGTGTAGCTGGTGAGGGGAGATAACGGGAGAGGTGTGATGGACCTGGGATGTGGAAAGACTCAAAATCGATTAAAAAAAAGAGGGGAACACCTTGAGCGGGGCGCAGACGAGCCGCCCCGCCGACGCCGGAGATGCGGCGGAGCGGGGGCCTATATGGACGTGCGACCCGACTGCGCCCCACAGGAATGTGTGCAGTTTGAGGGGCAGCCAGACGCACATGCTCGGACATTATCCCGCGTAGTGGCTCTCGGTTTTTTCAAGTCACCTTTTTTGAGAATAATTGCAAACGCGGGGGCCACTTTCGCCGCGCGCCCTCTCACGGAAACCTATAATTGGAGACGAGCGCGACGCGCTGAAAATAACCAGGTTAGCACTTAGTACCGGTCCATTTTGGGGAGGGCCCGGCACGAGGGGAGCAGCACCATATATCACCTCCTTCCAGCTGTTTGGGAATATCCTGCTCATAATTTCGAGGCTGCAGCATGGCAACAGTGGCATCAGGCTGCAACCTTTTTTTTTCCTCCTTCTGTTCCTCTTTCTATAGTGGATATTGGGGGACCGACTGGGTGCGCACGGGCAGGAGGAAGAGGGGTGGTTGTGGAATTTTACGGTGAGAATCGCAAAGGTTTTTTAATTTTTTTAAATTTTTCTATAAGAAAGGGAGGGCGGGGGTTGGGAGACCGACACAAGGCGACACTGTTGCATGCTCTTTTACTCTCTCTCTCCTTGGACAGACGGTAATAGATTGGCCAAAAGGGACTGTCCGACTTATTCCAAAAGACAATTCGTGCACCCCCCCACCCCCCACCCCCACCAGCCTACCCCCCTCCCTCCTCCCCCAAAAGCATATTCTTGCACAATTTGGGATGCGCGCAGCACCAAGTGTTCACATATTACTTGGGCGGAGGTGGTGCTGGAGCTGGTGCCGGTAGTGGATAGACGCTGAAGTTAAACTTAGCTTTGCAGACGCGGCGGCGCAGCCAACCAGACTGCCGGGGCGCTTTCTGACTTAAGTCCCCCACTGGGCCCAGGATGCTGACACCTGTCCAGTGCGCAGGTAACGACAACCCGCCAGTAGCCCTCTTGTCCTATAACGCGGACAGGCAGCGCATCACACGGTATGTATGGACTGGATTAAAAAGCCTTTCGCATCCCGACAGCTGTCTGCTCTGAACAAGGGGAAATCGTTATAGTCATAGGACATATCTAAAACGAATCTCCTCGCGCAGTTGTCTGTGCTGGGACTGACTTTGGTGATGGTGTGTGTCAGAGGTTGGGTCTTTGCGGGCAAGGTGAGTCCTCAGTTTATTCAACTGGCCTACAAAGTCCCAGTTTCTGGCTCATGTGAACCCCCTCTAAGTCTAACTTTAAGTCATCGCTCCTCTGTTGCAATAAAAAAAAAAAAGAACAAGTGACGTACAGATGGGAAATATTAGTAGAGTAAAAATTTGACTCGGCCTTTAAACCTTTTTTTTTTTAACTTTAACTGAAAAAACTGCAAAAAGTAAGTAAAACAGCAAATATGTTGGTTATTGGCCTTAAGAGTACAAATCTAAGTGGACAAAAGTCAGAACTACTTATATTAAATCAAAATGTATTAACGGGGTTGACTGTAATGTCACCAAGAATTTCCACATATGTAAAAAAAAGTCTTGATATTACATAAATATAACTCACCAAAAATAAAAACATCCAGCAATTTATCTGAAATTAACCTATTCACAGCCTAAGTGGATAAGCAGCCTAATGTTACAGCAGAGTGGCTTTCTTTCCAGTCTTAAGAATTTTCCCAAAAAACTAGATTTATGTGGACAAACGCAATACCTCTGGTGCCCTTAATCAGCCTTATTATGCGGTACAGGTCATTCATTTTATTTTATTTTAAAAATAAGCTTAATTAAAAATCAGGTAAGAATAGAATATTTAAATTAAAAAACATTTGTTATTCATTTGTAGCAGCTGAATGCAGGGAAGATAATCATGACCCACGGATTGGTCTCCACGTACATGCTCAAGGCACACAGTCAAATTAATTTAAAAAAAAAGTGGATTGTTGTAAAAAAAAAAAAAAAGACAAAGTACGGGGCTTTATTATTTCAAACAAATGTGTCAAGTGCTGGAAGAGGCTGCTTTGGAGGCCTGCTTCTATATCTGTCCTGACCCTAGCATGCCGTGCATACCTCACTAATGAATTCAGCATCCTGACACTAGATGCTTTATGTAATTAATAGAGTGCCAGTGGCATCTCCATGCTGCAAGTGACACATAGGTAAGACATTCGCTGAAGCATTGGATTCTTATTTTAAAAATATAAGACCACGGGGATTTTTACAGTGCGTCTAAAACGGCCGTGGATAAGAAACGGACCCCCGCCCCCCCTTGACACACGAAAAGGCATGTCAGCTTAATTTGTTAAAAGTGCGAACTCTAATAATCAGAGGTTATTTCAGACCTTGTCTAACATATCAGTGGCAATGCATTTGTCTTTACAAGCTGTTGAAACTGTTGAAGTTC